GTACCTCTTGAATTACTTATGGAGCGGAGTTTCTCCCTCTCTTCAATCTTATTATATTATAGTGGTATTATAATTGTCTTGAGATTTATTCTTTTGATACCTGTTGCATCGAAAACAAAACTGACGGTCGTGCTTCTATATTTAAGCGGAAATTCATTTTCCTAGCACGAGTTTAATAATACGATTAAGATGTTTTTATGGTACAAAAAAAACTAAGTTAAAATGAGAAGAAGAGGAGAGCTTTGCTTGTACACTTCTCTTTTAAAAAGCTGATGAAGTTAGAAAACTGTTAGAAAATTTGTGTAAGGACTAAACAAAAGTAGTAAGCAAGCTTGTTTCTCAAGAAAAAAGTATATTTAATGTTGTTACAGAAAATATAATGGAGGAAAGTAAAAATAATTTCCCAAATATAACTGTGTCCAACAGGGATAAATTTAAGAAAAAAAAATTTAATTCGGATTTACTTTGCCTCGGTCGTTGTTCTTCCGTTTTCACTGATATTTCCCCTATTCCTTATTTTCAACGCTCTCCTTATAGGAATGTCGCTCTCAGAACTTGGTGTCGCTATTAATGATTTACGGCAAGGCAAGAGTGTGGATAGAAGTCGTTTATCGTTCGGAATACTGAATGCAGTACCATAGTTGGGCGAGTCTCTAAAACTAACTCTGGAATAAGAAAATTATAGGGAGAGATTGATAAATCTCTTACTAAAGATGTGAAAAACTATAGTATTGGGTGAAAACTATGAAGAAAAACTTAAGTTACAAGATGAAAACGGGGAATCTATTTCAGAAACCGAGAGCATTCAGTTAAAAAAAGATGGTAGCTTTGAATTAGAGGATAATTTTGCCGAATCTGAGGAAAAATGAGTTCAAAAGCAAATTTTGCAAAAACTTATCGATGTAGACGGAGTCGAATACTTGGTGGAAAATGTAAACAAGAAAGAACGTAGCGCCTACTCTTTTGATTACAAAAATGGTAAAAATTTTTAACATAAGGACTACTGGTACGGTATTTTACTACGAGAAATTTAGGCATTTGGGAAAGAATGAGGCTCAAAGGAGGAGCCGGGGACGTGCCTATCCCTAGAAAGATGGCTAAATATGACTCGATATCTTTGAGAGGTATCAAAATAAGAAGTGAGGGTTATAATATTAAAAACAGTAACTTAGAATATATACACAAATATGATTATAATTCGAATAATATTTATTTTATTGAAAATTCGAAAAAGGAAACAAAAATGGTTTATTTCGACCTGGATAATAACTGTTGGAGATATAGAGTTACTCAGGAAACTTCCGGTTGCTTGGCACTTGCAATTAACGATGAATGGGAAAAACTGTCTCCCGAATTAACAGTAGTTATTCCTGATAAAAGTTTTCAAGAGACATTTCGAATCTCCCTGAAAATTGGGAAGGAAAAATCAATGCGATTTATGATTCAGATTTGGAGGGCCCCACTACCCAAGTTAACGCAGTAATATTTAAAGATGGTTGGGACACGGTTATGATTGACAACTATATTAATCCTATTCTCTACAATCAAGAGGAGGGTTACTGGCACTTCGAAGGTCGCTCCCACCGGCTTGAATTTACGATTGATAAAAGGTGGGTCGAGTTAAAAGAAGCTAGCAATCTACCCCTGCCCAAATATAATTTTATAACACATGAGGATTACTACCGCCTCATGCCAGCTATTACATTAAGCAAAAATACGCAGCTGATTCCTATGATACTTAATTTTGTCATTACCGGAGAAGTGCCAAAGAATTTTTTAATTTTCTCGAAGTCTATAAAATAGCTGTGCATAATACCCTCGCCCCGAGCGTATCGTTGTATTTACGTACGGAAAAGAAGTCACCTTAAATTTTTTTTTGAGCTGAAGATTCCATCACATGCTTAAAAATAATTGATTATAGTGCATTGGATGGTTTACCAAACTTTGTACAAAGCGTTTATCAGTATGTTAACCTAAATCAAGCCAATCTTTTTTCTTTATTAATACGCCTTAAGTTAAGTCAACGTTATCCAGGTATTTTTCTTACCCCAGATTACGCCTTACCAATAAGCATATTTAATGAAGGACTAACAGTTGAAAACAGGGATGCTTTTGAAAGCTCCCATGTATAAGGAAAATCTGAACCAATATATAATTTCAGTCAATGCTTTCGTCTCGCAAGAAAAGAGGGAAAGATTTCTACGCTCCTTGATGTTTTTTAAATAAATTATCTTTGGCAAAAAATAGTGGGGTGAGTATTGAAGAGTATGAAAGTATCTTTACGGAGAGCGTGAAAAATGCTTTCATTAAATATAAAAAATACATAAACTATTACGAGGCAGCAAAAGGTCTCATTTTTAAATATTTTGATATCAATATAAAAAAAATTAATAATTATTATGAGCAACTAGATAGATTGCTTACAAAAAACAATAAAAAAAAAATATATGGTATACAACTTTAAAACAAACATCAATCCCTTCATTATTTTACTAGATGATCCCGAGAGTGTTTTTTGGATGCAGAATTTTAACGTGGAGGTTGTTAAAGTAAATGAAAAGATTAATTACATATACTCCATTAACAGCGATGTTAGAGAGCTTTGTTTATTTAAGAAAGTGGCTGGAAAAATAGAGGATATAATAAAACTGATATGCTGGCGTACTTAAATGAAAGTGGCCTTATAGAGGTGCAAGAAGTCTAAAAGTTGGAAGGTAATGAACAATTTCAACATTCTAAAGAAGTTTTTGTACCAGGGATGGAATTGCAGTTCTAGATTCCGAGGAGAGGGAAAACAGATTGTTTAGCTAAAATAGAAAACCTCCACAGAAAAGTTTATTATGACGTAAAGTATGAGTGTTGGGCAATACTTAAAACTGAAAGTCGGGGGGGAAAGAAACTAAACTATCCATTTCTACTTAAAAGGCTTGTGGACAAAAAGGCAGCGAAATAATAATGTTCTTTATCCAGCTCCGGCGTCAAGTGCTGAAAGAATTATGCTTCCATTAGTGACTAAAGCTGCCTGGCCTCGCAGAAGAATACCAAAGATTATAAACTTTTTTGTCTAAGATTTGGGCTTCGAAAGTTTCTTAGGACGGCACAAAAAATTGAATACAGTCATAATTCATTATGATATCGATAAAGCGCTTATTCTTTCCTTAACACGTATAATTCGAATCAAAATTTCTTTTCGATAGAGCAATGTAAGAAATGACCCAAGTTTTTTCTATTTTTTCCAAGGAAGTGAGAGGGGTAAATATTACGAGGCTGCGAGAATTAATAGTTATTTGGATGTTGCTTACAACATTATGCAATACCAAGTATTAAAAAAAAGTTGGGGGGGGGGAGGGAGGGGGCCTGGAAATGTTTTTACCTTACTGGAAGGCTTCAGTAAAACCACCGAGAAAGAAATGTACGGCAATATTTACGGACCTTCTACTTATATTTCCTTAAAAAAAACTTTGAAAACTCCGCAAAATATGTGATATCTAACGAAAAAGTTGTTTCTCACCCGGACAACTCTTTTTTTCTGAAGCTAAATAAAGTGTTGGTAACGACGTTTTTTTTTGGAGACTAAGAAACAAGAATTCAGGCGCTGGATTATTCCCCATTAGCGAAGTTGGCGGACTCAATGGCTTTTCACAGAATTTATTGCTACGAGTTAATATTCCTTCAAGGAAAGCCTCCAGTTATTTTTTTATCAAAAAACAGCTATTCTTACTATAGAGAGTATGAAATATCAAAAGCTTACTATTTTCCGATCCCTTCAGATGCTTTTTTTTGATAAAACGGCCAAAAAATTATATAAATAAAACCCTTCCTTTGTTATAGGTTTCACTGGTCTTATTTTAAAGTTTAAGTAATACTACCTAATAAGATTTTTTTTATTATAATTTTCATACATAATATATAGAAAATGTATTTTTATATCGATTCGGAGACACCAAACTACGCAGAATAAAGCACTTTTGTTTAGATAGTTTATGTATAAGTAAGCAACATGCAAACAGAAATAATATTTGCTAGTAAAATGTTGGACTTAACAGCTTTAGGCATGAGTTCGGTCCTTCAACTTAAAAAGAAAAGAGCTTTTCTTATACTTTTTTTTTAAACTTCCTAATTTAGTTTTTCAGAGCATTATTTCAAGGTTAAGTATAATTAAACAAAGAAAATTTACTTTTAAAGAAATTAATATCAATATTTTTAATCTCGCTCGGCTTAGCAAAAAGTGTTCGAGTTATTTTAAGGAATTTTTTGGAGAAAGTAAAACTATAATAAGTTTTATTGTTTTTTTACGATAGCGTTAATCTTTTTTAAATTTATTTTTTTAAAAGATGGCCTAGTGAGTGTTCTTCTAGAGTCAATTCCTTTTTTAAGGCGAAATAAAGTACTTTTTCCGGCTTAAAATCTATTTGGGCATATATGTAAAAAAATTGTAACAGGATGACTAGTATTGCTCTGTAACAATCATTATCTCTAGATAATTTAATTTTTAAATGTATAATTATGTAATCTCTCTATTATCAACTTGGCTACAACAAGTAAATATATAAATACCGTATACTTAGAGAAATATTTAGCTTTTACAGTTGAAAAATTGACCAACACTTCAATTAAATATAATATGGTACGAGAGAATCCTTAAGCAGATTTTTTAATTTTTGTTCATAAGTGGACTTTTCCTGGTGCTCGATTGAGTTAAACAACTTGATACTCGAGTTCTGTATTAATTGGAGTCTCCCGCAGAGCTCCCGTCAATCTCTCGTGGGAGTAACATATCTGTCCCGAGCCCCGAATGACTGAGTGCTGCCTAGGGGGTTAGAAAACCGCTGGGAGCCGAGCTCGAGGGTCTCCTAAAGACGCCGACCACCATTGAGGCTGGCCAGGTTCCTGTCTGAGCCAACTTATTCCTGAAGAAATAGTTAGGCAGCACATGGCGTTAATGAACTAAATGTAGTGTTGAAGTATAATTGGTGGCCCGTTGTCTTCGCTTTACTACTGTTTTGTTTCTCCCTGCTTAGCCGTGGTGATGGTATTTATGTCGCTGTTTTCATCACAGCGTCTGGTTTTTTTTCCCTCCTTTTAGCTAATTAAAATTTTATATACTTTACGTTATGCAAGACGGCAAGTTTAAAAAAAACCCGAAAAAAGCGTGGGCATGTTTCCGCGGGACACGGTCGTGTAGGTAAACATAGAAAGCATCCAGGTGGTCGCGGAAAAGCAGGCGGCCAGCATCACCATAGAATTAACTTTGACAAATATCACCCCGGCTATTTTGGTCTGTTTTTACGCGTTTTATATTTTTTTTATTAAATAGCTTTACCCATTGTTGCAGGGAAGGTTGGTATGCGCCATTTTCATCTGACACGTCAGAAGTATTACAGGCCCATCATCAACTGTGATAAACTTTGGACTTTACTGCCAGCTGGCTCTGTTGAAAAGGCTCAAGGGATGACTTCTAGAGTAATGGTTATTGATTGTGATAGAGCAGGAATTTTCAAGGTTATTTTATTATGTTAAGTGTGGTAATCACTGTTAATGGCGGCTTTTTAAATTCTAAGGTTTTAGGAAAAGGCCGTCTTCCTCCTATAAAAGTGGTGGTGAAAGCTAGATTTTTTAGTAAAATAGCCGAGCGGAAAATTAAAGCTGCAGGAGGCCAATGCGTTCTTACCGCATAACCAGTGGAGTTTATTTTTTTAATATATTTTATTATTATTACTATTAAATTGTTTATCTGGTTTGCTTGAGGTGTATGAGGATTAATAATTTTGTACGTCAGTCAGAGAATATCGTTGACTTTACATGTTGAATTAGTTATCTGACACCTCATAATATATGTAGCTTACTTATACTTAATTTTTATAAACAATTAATTATTACTGTCTTTGTTATTAAAAAAAATATAAAGATAAAAAGTTATTTTAGTTTATTTAATTGTTAACGTCTGTTAAAAGAGTCATAAGAAGAGCATTGCGGAATAGTTTTCTAATATATGTCTTTTTTTATTTTAGGGTCTGTATTATACTTAGACCCTGTTTCTTAGTTTTTATATTATTATATAAAAATATTATCAGGGACAGCTACATAAAGAGAAAAATAATAAAATTATATCTATTTTCTAGATTCGGTTTTAGTGAACTTTTTTTAAACTTTTTTTTTATTAGAAAAAAAAGATAATACTTTCTAGCTGAATTTTTTAAGCTACTTAAATAAATTTATTTATATTTATATGTTTTAGGAGACTTAAACTTTTTGTAGATATTTGAATTGCTGGAAATCCTGAGTTACAATTTAATAAAGTATTTACCTACTGGATCTTTTTTAAATTTATAATTATTGTACTACTGCCTATAAATTTTAACTTTTTCTGTTGATCTCCTGGTATTGAATAATGTGTTGAAAAAGGTTAAGCACCATATCTTTTTTATATATAAGTATTCATTATTAATGGGTTGCTACTATTATAATTACTACTTGCTTAGCAAATGTTATAGAAATTTACGTTTAATAAACGTTGGCAGAAAATAGATGTTGGTAACCAATATGCAGTTTTCTTCGCATTTTTTAAGCTATTAAAATTTATTTTCTGCTTAGAAAACTATACTAAAAAGATTAAGTCAGGTGAAGTTATCTTTACCCATGTGACATTTTGCTCAATACAATAGTTTGCTGCTCTTTTAAAGTTGTACACAAAAAAATACTTTTGAGATAACTTCAGTAATATATCTTATAAAAAATAATTTATAATAGATTATGCGAAAATATTTGTTTTGAATAAAGTTAAGAATAAATAACTAAAACGGTTTATAATGGTTTTAGATTTTCCGTTATTCCAAAAGTGAACGCCCGCCTTATGGGGCAGAAATTTATTTTTCAAGGTATTGAGCCCTAACAGCTGGTATAAAAGAAGTAGAGAAAATTGGAACAAACATTCTTTACTTTGAGAACAATAATAAAGCCTTAAGGAAACTAGCTTGTTCTAGCTAAACTAGAAAAAGTGTTTTTGGTCACAAAAACGTATGAAATTAATTCCTTTGGCAAGTTACTAAAACGCCAAAGAGATTCTTTAAAAAGCTTTTAGATAACGAATAAGATGCAAGCTATGGGAACTTGAGAAAAATGTAAGCAATAAATATTTAAAAATCGTTTATTCTGAGTAGAAAAAATTATGCCTTGAAAAACTTTTACTACTAAGTATGCTTTTCCTTGGTAAGACAGGGTATCCGCCGCTCTGCACGGATGGGCACTTCGGAATAAGGCTTTCAAAAAAGAATCCCTTTGAAATACAAATTAATTAAAATTTTAGGTCTTAAAAGGCTATTATACTGGCAGCTCGTAAAATTATGGGCTCCAGTGCACTTCGTGACAAGCTTTTTAAGCTTAAATTTCACTTAGTTAAGGGTCGATCGTATGAAAAATATTACCATTAATTAACTAAAAATAATAAATGGTGGAGCGCTGCGACATTGTGCTACTCAGGCGGCTTAAAAGCTAAATAAATTATTGCTACTAAGTAATAACGAACTTAAGCTATTCATTCGTAAATGACTTTTCCTTGTCCTCGAAAAAAACAGAAACTTTCGAATACTCGAGCTTACAGTCAAGTTTTTGCAGTCAAAATACATTTACATTTTAGTCAGATCAATAATTTTCTAAAGTTTTCCATTTGAAAATACCAAACAAAAATAAAAACAAGCGCTTAACCGCGTCACGTGATGACTCGTACATGAGCTCGCTCACCAGCAGGCTGTTAGTTAGTTCGCCTGACTAGCCAGTCGTAAAGGGCAATGGCATTGCGGCGGGGGAGAGCGTTTAACAGGTCTTCTGGAGGAAGGAGTTTCATTTCTTACAAATCATGGCGCGTTCGTCATAACTCCCAGCAACTTGTTTTTGGGGCGCTTGGAATACGATTCTATTGCCCTAAAATTGTAGTCATGAAGCAGAAACGTACGCCGTTATTGGCTAAATGGAAGACATATATTGGCTTTGTACGTAAGCTTGCTTTTGCTCCATTAAAAGGGGAAGCGCCTTAGTTGCTGCCTTGACCTTCGCCACCACGTAGACTACGTGCGACCGTCATGAAAGTGTGTGTCAATAATGACTCCCGGGCATTCGCTTGAAGGCACAACGAATTTCATGCCGTTGAAGGTTAGGGCGCCCGAGGAGGGGCCACCTTCTTTTAGGAGGGCTTTGATCTTCGTCGCATTTATAGCGACTTTCCATTAACGGCATACGTTGAAGAGGGCGTTAAGATAAGCGCTGCGGATGCTGACACAACAGGGCGGTGACTTCGACAACGAGCAAATGGTCGTATGGACGAAGTATAGAAAGACGTGCGTGTCTCGCTATAATTCTTTGTAATATTTTTTATACCATATCAAATATTTTTATGTTAGTAATATATTAGTTCTTGAAGTTTTAAGCCTGTAAGATCATCACCTAAATTAGTTGCTACTCCATTTCACTGTGGGGTATTTTAAATACTGATCTCTAAGATGGCTAGCTATTGAATAACACTTTATAGGCTTTAAAAAGATTTTTTTATATATAATGGTACGAGAGCTAATGTCATAAATATCACAAGGTGGCCTTAAGTTTTGTGCTTTAATTTGTTAATACACAGGTTCGACAGTTGCTATATAATATTTAAGACACCATATTTATTTAGTAGCCAGTTATAACATTATAGATTTTTTAATTCTAAATTCTCGCCTAACTTAGTTTTTACGATTTTACCATAGAGCCTATAATAAATTCTTACAGGTTAAATGCTAGCAACTTCAAATCTAACTTTATAATAATTAGCTGCACATTCATCCGTAGTTTAACATTAGCCCATCAAACTGAATTGCGCGTATAGCTAACAGTTATATAAAAAAATAGTTATTACAGGAATTATATATAGGTTTGGTATGTAAAGAGCACAAGACTATATATTCTCGTTTGAATCTAATTGCTTGCGGATACCAAGTTTATTTGTTAATAGTTAAGAAGTCATTTATGTGAAGAAACCGAAGATTTTTTCGAGCGAAAGCTTTTTGACTCTTATTTTTTGGTACCTTTTATAAGCTTTACTTTTGGTTTATTATTAATTATCATCAATTTTTAATTTACACGGGCGATTGTTTCTTAAAAAAGATTTTTAGCAACCAAATAATTAAAATCTTTTTTGATTGTTTTATTTTTTAATTAATTGATTATTAAACCCTGAAAATTAGATAAGAGACATTATTTCTATTTAATCAAACCTGGCTTTTCTCTTATAGTCTTAGTTCTGTTTTGTAATTCCTTTGTTTACAAGATATATACACTATAGGATTATATATTATTTAAAGCCAACGTAGAAACCAACCTTTTTAAGTTTATTTTTTCCCCTCTCCCAAGTGAAACCACAAATATAACTATAATTTAATGATGTCAACTTTAATATTAAAAAGATTTTAAAAACATAATCTTTAGTTAAATAAGCAAACAGTAAACGTAAAACAAGGAAAACAGCTTCCGCTAAAAGTCTCAATGGAAGCTATAAATTTTTAAAAGATATTTTTTAATGTCCGTAAATGGTTAAAAGCTGGATTCTTTTATTTTTAACTTAATTTTTGGTACAATCGAACTCTTGTCGCTGCCAGTTGGCACAGGAGTTTGAAGGAAGATTTATAAATGGTACAATCTCTTCTTCATAAGTACAACTCGGCTCAGAAAAGTATATCTTATGTTGGTACTGGAGGCGAGAGCAGCAGAGGAAAGACTGTTCATGTGATAACTTTCTGTTTAATTAAAGTATACAGATTAATTAAAACTTTGTTTCAGCAAAACAACACCTTACATGTAATTTAAGTTTTCACTAAAAGCGTCCCTCCCGATTTCAGTAATAGCATTATTGCTAATATCTCTAATATAATTATAATAAAATTAAAAATTAAAATACTTATTAATTATAACTTACAAATAAGACTGAGGTAAGTTCGAGAAAAGTATTGGCCAAAATTGAGGTAACCTGAATATTTTGAAGACTTCTATACGCCAATTAGCGAGTGATAATTAATAAATTTAAATTTATTCGCAGTTAAGTTCAAAAAAATTTATTAGTCAAACCAAAGTATTAGAAGATTACTCGAACTAAACATGACTATTTTAATATATTTAACGAGTTCTAACAGTCAACACTTACAAGTATTGAAGGTTACTTAAGCCTTTAAACCAGCGGGCTTGCACCGACTTAAGAGGGTTATCACTTAACCATCTTAAATTTATTAAAAAAAACAAACAGTTTGGTTGCAGCCTTTAAAATAAAAACTGTGCCTTTTAAATGTCTTATCTAACTTACAAATGCTTCAAATTTTGAAGATCTTTGAAAGAATCTACGTCAATTGACTTTATTTTATTGCCAGAAAGGTCTCTAAAAGCAATAAACAACTTTACTTAAATATTAAAAAGTTAAAAATTATTAGTTTGCCATAAATATGGCTGTTATTAATTAGTACGTTTCCTTTGTTACTTACAATAACTTAAGGTTCGTAAGACCTAAAAATAAATTCTGACTTATTGAAGCGAGCTTGTTAATACTAAAGTCTCTAGGCAAACAGTTAGCCTCTCATCTAGAGAGTAATTAAAATATTACAGTGACGTGAGCAAAGGTAGCTTAGAGAATGTATTTGACGCCACCTCAGAAATTTTGTTGTTTTTAAGACTCCTATTATAATAAGTTACACTTATAATTTATTATTGTACATTAGTATTAAATTTTTACTTAGGCATAAGTTACAAACGATAAGGTGGTGTTATTTTTTAAAATTATTTTTTGCTTTATTACATGTAAAATAAAAAATAAATAAATAAACTAAAAAATAGCTATAAGATAATCAATACATTCATTATTAGACTAGCTTACAAAGTTTTTAATAGTGGAGAAAGGTTTTGGTTGTTTGGGGGAAAGAACCCGAGTAAACAGTATGATAGATCCCTAGGGGATTCATTGAAGTTTATAATAGTAAGTTTTTACAAGCGATTATTCTCAACGCTATCCCGAATAAACAACGCTTTCGGATCTAAATTATAAATTACTCGGAAGTAGAACTAACTGTTTTTGTTAAATATTATTTTATATTTTTCTTTTGTTATACGTAGTTGAGGACTGACAACACGAACACGCTAATAACTATATATAAGGGATGAGCGTGTGCACCGCACTCATTTTTTTTTTTTCATTTCGTTTGTTAGGTAGAGATGTTACTCAGGCTCGTAGCTAATTAATTGTTGACCTAGGTTTAAAGCTTCAAGAACTATTATATAATCCAGACAATAAAGTAAGATATAGTATATCATTTACTATAAAGGAATATAAGTTAGTTAGAGCTTAAAAGCATCCTTACAAAGCGGGATAACTATCTAGTCTCTCACATGAACTCAAGACCACCACTTCTTTTGTAAGAAAAAGGTACGCTAAGAATAAGGTACTTAGAAAGAGTATCATATATGACTAAATAAAGCAATAAGCTAGGAACACAGTAACGGTCATCGATAAGCACGAGGTATATTTGTAGTTAAATTAATCTTAAAATTTTTTAGTTTAGTTTATGGTTTGTTGAACTAAAAAGCTAAAACTAAAGTCCACTGTAGAATTAGGGGGTACGAGATAAAATTTCAAATTATATAACCCTCTGCTAAAAGTGGGAGACAACAAAGTTAATTATATACATTATTGATAAAGCCCACCAATATTCAACCAAATTATAAATAATTTTAACTGAACTTCTATCCTGATTATTCCCTAACTTGGAGTGAGGTAGTGTTCAGTAACATAGTTATTATTTCGCCTGTGCCCGCTACAAACAATACTGTTACCCCGGGGGTCACTTGCGCGTCCCGTTTGAGGACAAAATCTTATCAAGACTTTCCGACTATTCCGTACGGTTTTAAAGCTACTGGTCACGCTCTTACTACGAAAGCTGGTCAGCAACCGCAACGACCACTGCCGACATTATAGCAGCTGTTAGCGATTTTCACGACGAATATATCAAGCATAATTAAAACTGTGATAGAACTAGAATTCGTGTGCAACGGTCTCTAAACCTACAATGCTCCGCTACATCCGACTCTCATCTGGCATGCGGCTGGTGCTCAAAGTAAGAAAAACCTGAGCTTCAGGAGTTGCTACACTGCGAAAAAATTGGTGTGTGCGCCATTAACAAGATGCACCTCCTTCTTAACGTCTTATTTAGCCTGTGCAACTTTGTGACGTATCGCTAAGACCTGATCGATGATAGTGGCGGAAGCGTGACCGTTTTAGTAAAACGGAGAATTCGATATCACTTGATATCTCTGCCAGCTCTACATAGTGTCAAGACAGTGGGAATTACCCTTTGCATACCCCACCAGCGATCCGTTTCTGTAATCACTGTTTACAGGTCCTCTTGGAAGCTAATACCGTTATTCAATTAATACGCTAACCTTGCGAGTGACTCTTCTGTTTTGTGTGGGGATCTCTACGGCAAGCACCTTCATAAAACAGCCGTGTCGACAATTCAATTAGTCACATCTTTAAAGCCTATGCTCATGAACACGAGCTGTGCATCCTGAGTTCCCCAGCTCTTAAATCACTTGGCCACTACCGGCGTAATGGGAGCGGAGGATTTGGCCGTAATAAAAAAATGTCTCTCAACGAGCTCTCCTTCGACCACCTTAAAGTTTTTTTCGAGTTTGGCGGCGATAAGGACGCACCGGAGACTATCACCCGTTATTTTTTACCAACTGGGAAAAAAAAAGCTGAGTTTTTAGAAACCACTCACCCGCCGTGTTCGTCACTACTGTCTACACCCGCCCTGCTGGATGAGACTGTCGCCTTATTCAAAAGCGCACTGAACATGGCTTGCACTACTGCCACGACAACTCGTGTAGTAACGTACAGCTCCGCTCGCTGTTTAACTAAGGCAATAATCTACCCACACCGACGCCTTATCCGAGTGGCCATTTTGCCGCAGAACGCCGAAGACAAACTTGCGCTTAACCGGCTGCACAGGCGCATAAAGAAGAAGCTAGTGGTCCCTTTCAACAGTATAGAGGAGGCCAAGCTGAACCATTTATCAGCAGCAGCCGCTTCTCTTTTTAAAATTTTTTAAAAGGGCCAAAAATCAAGGCATTGCACCACTACCACCTCCTCTCCGTGAAGGTAATATAGTGGCCGAGAGTGATGAAGACAAAGCTACACTTTTCGCTAATCTCCTTACTACCCGAAACGTGCCAGCTGCCCACTTAACTGCCATGGATGCGCTCCCTTAGCAGAGTTTACCCCTTCCTGGTGTTCACGAACCACTTGAGTTAGGGTAACGTTGGCTAGGTTCAAGCGATTGTCGAAGCGCTACCCAAAAGAAAAGCCACTAATAGACGCTGAAAAAAATTGCCATTAGCAGTGATGCATCATCTGTACCTCCTAATAAAATCTGTAATGGCCCTTAGTGCCTTTCCTATCCGATGGACACTTATATCGGAATCTGCAACTAGAAAGTACCGACCCTTCGGTCTCCTGACAGCTGTCGGCAATGTGGATGAAGTCGTTTGACGCTCGGGACGCCTCTGCCGGAGTTTCAGTATGGATTTCGGCAAGGCCCCTCAACTACCAAGCAGCTCCCCCGCTTAACCGAAAGGACCACTCGCGCTTTTAACCATAAGAAGGCAACAGGTGCTGTCTTTCTTGATGTTGAAACGCAAATGTTTAAGTTTGGCACGAAGGTCAACCGCACAAACTGCGCTCGTTATCCGTTCCTCATGGCCTTTACAACGTAACTGAAGTCATCTCTATGTGGCCTCTGTCTTCGGCGTGCACATGGGAGATGCACAGTCGCCGCTGCGATCTCTGACAGCAGGCCTCTTATTTCGCACCTTTCATTTGCAATTTATGTGAGCGACGGCCCTTGCCATCAATTCCACACAAACGGATGGCTCTCTACGAAGATGATACGGCCAATTACTCTTCGTCGAAGCCTCCCACCTTGTTATGCAAGCATCGACTGTGCTATCTTGGCGGCCTTGCTGACTAAAGCGGTGATTGGAAAGTTTCTATTATTGTGGTGAAAAGTACAGCGCTTTTAAATACTAGGAAACGCATCCCCTTTTTGGCGCCCTTAATCTTTCAAGGCGTGAAGATTCGATGGTTTCTCAAGCGAAATAGTTGGGAGCCATCAATAACAACAAATTTTCTTGGCGGCCCCTCGTGGGATATATAGTGGCGAAAGTCAAGGCAGCAACTACGACGCTCTACCTTTACTATGCGGTAAAAGCAACTTTTTTCGGCCCAGGCACTCGGCCTTTGTATAGGTCTTACATCCAGCCGATAAGGACACGCGTCTGCTGCCTGGGTCTTCGATTCCACTGCAATAAGAGCGGCACTCCAAGTGCCACAGAATTAATTATTGCTGTTTGTGCGACATGAACTTTAAATGAGGCCTTTTTTTTTGTTTGTTAAGATCAAGAAAACATTGACACCTTATCGATTAAAAGCTATTTGTAATATCTGGGTGCGAACACCTGATTGAAAGCTAGTATTCAAAGTTTTTCCAAAAAAGTTTGATTTTCTTAGTCATAGAGCCGGTGTACCTGGTTTAAATTAAAAGTGAATAACCTGAGATTTAGAAAATTTAATTATTTAACTATAAATGAAAGAACCAGGGAATCCATCGAATCTTATGTTTAAGCAAAGGTTTCGAAAGCTGTTCACAAGCTCAGGTTTACACCAGCAAGTCCCTTATATTAGTATTACCTAAATTATTTAATCACTTATATATATTTCTTTTCAAACTATCCCAATATTAGCGCTATTTACAGAAAAATCTGTGAGCACACGACGGGTATACACTGCAGACATCTCCATAGAATAAAAAATTTGAGCCAATAAGATTAAGATTTTCATTAAGAATGCCTAATACAATTTAAATTTTTCACTAGTAGGAAAAATTAAATCATAAACTAAAGCTCTTTTCTAATAATGCACATAAAGTTGTTTTTTGGCTTGTGATTAGTTATATAAAAGCTATTATAATATCGTTAGAATGTCAACAAAAGTTAATAATTGGGTAAATTTAAGGTTGTTTCTTTTGGCCCGAAAACGTTCTTGAGCAACTAAATTGTTTATAAAAGTTAAAAAAATTAAAAATGTGTACTTAAAAGAGAAGAGATTACTAAAAAACAATGGTTTTCTTTTTTTAAGCTATAGACTTTATATTGCCTTTACATATTAGGTGACCCTATTGCTAGACTTGCCATAATAATATTAAACGACAAATTTTTTTTTAGAAGTAGAAAATATTTTACATATTTTTTATTAACGTTTGTTTCAAACACATGGCATTGTGTGGGTTACTATTGCTTCAGGTTCTAAGATGGCAATGCAGTATAGTAAATTAATGAGGCGCGCCTTCTATTTACTATTTTAGTCTTCTAATGCTACTTTATATTGAGTAACTAGGTTACAGGTAAAGGTTGGAATTTCTATGCCAGTGTAGTATAATAAATTTATAAATGAGGTGCACCTTTTTTTATTTTTATTATGTTGTTTTTTATTATTTTATTAGAGTTAATGTTAAAGGGTTAGAAGTTCTTTTTCCTTATGATTACATTTACCCCGAACAGTACCGTTATATGGTAGAGCTAAAACTAAATTTGGATGCTTCGGTTTTTTGTGTATCCTATTTTCTTTATACTTTTTATGTCTTTATATATTATAATAATAGCAACACTGCTTACTTGAAATGCCTTCAGGTACGGGCAAAACTGCCACCATACTGTCGCTCTTCGTCGCATACCAAAGAGTCTATATTATATTTTATCTAATATTTTTTATAAGCACCTGTCTATAAACTTTATACTATTTATCTTTTAGTAGGCTAATCCTAATACAGGAAAACTCATTTATTGTTCACGAACTGTCCCAGAAATCGAAAAAGCACTTGCTGAGCTGAAAAAGTTATTGGTATTCACTTTTATTAACTAATATAAAAAATATTTTTGCGTACAAATTAGTTTTTTTTGTCAATATTAAAAAAGGCCTATTACGATAAAGAAAACGAAAAGTTGGTTTCGTTCTTGGGCATCGGTTTAAGCTCCAGGAGGAAATTATGCATTCATCCCGAGGTTTTATTTTTATTACCTTTTTACTAACTTTGTTTACTATCAAGTGCTGTTTATATCAGGTTTCTGTCAGTGGGGATGGCGCCACTGTTGATAGTAACTGTAGGAAACTGACTGCCTCTTGGGTACGAGCAGCCGCAGAAAAATCTTCTCATGTTCCTTTATGCAACTTTTATGAAGTCTCTTTTAATTTTTTAATTAATAAAAAATAATTTCAGTATTTTTTAAAAGGATTTTGAGAGAATCGGAAAACAGTCACCGATGCCTTCGGGTGTTTATACTTTAGAAGACATTAAAAACTTTGGGCGGGATCACGGCTACTGTCCTTATTTTTTAGCGCGCTATAATGTGGGATATATACGCTTTTTTAATTAGTGTGGGGAATAAATATAAACGTACTTTGATCATTTTAATTTATTTTTTTTATGACCACATTTTCATTGGAAGTTAATTTTTTTTTTATTTCTATAAAGTATTTTTTTAATTGTTCTAAGTAAAAAACTGTGTGTTGTTTTAAACTATTTTTTTGTTATTATAAATTTTTTTAATAGCTTACAATAACTACTTATGATTTCGTTGTTTACTTAATATAAACTTTTTATTAACTTTATATTTTATGTTATAGATTATTATTATTAATTATTTGTTATTATATAATATATACAGATGGCCTTCGCCAACGTTATTATTTATAGTTATCATTATTTACTGGATCCGAAGATCTCTGAGTTAGTTTCCAAAGAGCTTGCTAAGGAGTCTGTAGTGGTTTTCGACGAGGCTCATAATATTGGTTATATTATCATATTAACTGATTTAGTTTATTATAGCTAATTTTTTGTTTGTGGATTTGAAATTCACCTTTGTTTTAATAACATACTTTTTGGTGTATTAATGTTAAAGTACATTTAGTTTTCATAGAAAGCGCTGTTAAATTTTATAAAAACTTTTTTGCACAGATAATGTTTGTATTGAATCTTTGAGTGTTGACATTAGCAAGAAAACCCTTGAAAATAGTTTGAGAAGTCTTAGTAAACTTACTGAAAAACTATCCCGGTTTAGTCTCTAAATTTACTTTTTGTGTTTTTTATTTAATTTTTGTGTAAGAATTAAATCGCAAGATGCCGATCGACTTCGAAATGAGTATATGCGTTTACTCGAAGGTTACTATTTATAATATTTTGCAATTTTTTTTGGCGCGCGCAATCACTAATATTTGTACTTAACTTTTGTTGACCCCTGCAAGTTTATTAGTGAATGTTTAACTTAACAACCAATAGGATTGAAAGAAGCTAATATTAATCGAGCAACCGACATTCACATGGCCAATCCTGGTATATAAATTTGCGCGTATTATGTCAGCTTGGTTATTTTGCTTCCCTTTTTTTTCATATCTGTACCATAACATTACTTTTGTGTCAGTCGCAGAAAAATATGTTTGTGTTTAAGTGCGCATTGTCCGTATACTTTTTTTAAAAGATTTACTTATTACTATTTCCTAATCTACCTGACTTTTTAATTTTTCAATATTTATTTAAAGTCTATTAATTTTTATTTTTATTTTTTATTTATTAACTGCAGTTCTTCCTGACCAAGTCCTTGAGGAGGCGGTCCCTGGGAATATTAGACAAGCGGAGCACTTCATTGCATTCCTAAGGCGCTTTGTTGAGTACTTGAAGGTTTATATTATTATTTTTATTGCTATTAGTATATTACTATGTCCGAAGACCAAACTTGATGCAGTCGAGCGTATTGAATCTCACAATCCGAAATCTTTTTTGTTATACTTAAGAACCGAAGTATATATTGAAAGAAAACCTTTGAGGTTGAAAACAATAATAATAAAAATAATACTAATAATTACTTTTTTTAAGATTTTGCTCTGAACGTCTGGGCTCTTTACTAAGGACACTTGAACTGGCCAATCTGGACGACTTTACTTCATTGGGTTTCCTATTGGCTCTTGTTTAACTTCGTTTCTTATTGGTATATACGTTTTGAATGTTTTAGGTTTGGTGACGATGTTTGCTACTCTTGTAGGAACTTATGATTCTGGTTATTTATGTGTGTTATTACTATTATCATCATCATTATTATTGTTTAGGTTTCAGTTTGATTATAGAGCCTTATGATGACCGTACTCCGACCATTCGGAATCCTATTCTTCACTTTAGGTAGCAGCCGTCATCACTCTATTATGTGTTTGCTTCATTTATTGTTTATTGGTATAAAAATATTGTATAAAATCTAATTATTTAGTTTGTGGCGTTCTTGGGTCTTGCTTATTACCGAGAAGGCTTCATTACTTTTCCTTAACTTTTTTCATGAGCAGAATAGTGGCAGTTTTGTTTTATGATTTATTACTATACTTAATTGGCTAGTCTGCCTGGCTCGGATTTGCATCCCACATGCGTTTGCTAGCCCTCTAGTTTTTTACGTTGCTAAAGAACGCTTAATTTTTTATTGATTGACTGTTGAATAGTTGCATGGACGCATCGATAGCTATCAAGCCGATCTTTGATCGCTTCCGGTCTGTAGTTGTCACTTCGGGTTATTATTATTATTATTATTATTATTATTATTATTATTATTATTATTATTATTATTATTATTATTATTATTATTATTATTATTATTATTATTATTATTATTACTATTATTATTAACAAGGAACACTTTCACCGCTCAGCATGTACCCCAAAATATTAAAGTTTAAGTGTGGTTCGATGCGCAGTTTTCCAATGACCTTATCTCGCCAGTCTATTCTACCAATGGTTGCATTTGTTTAAAAACCTCTTATTACTGGGTGCAGTAACAGCACAAGTTATAGATAGTCACGAAAGGCGATGACCAGCTCGCTGTTTCCTCGAAGTTTGATGAAAGGGCCGACATTGGCGTCATTAGAAACTACGGGCTTTTGTAAAACTTTCTTGGCTAAAGCTTTGTTGTTCATTTAAACATTTTACATAATTTTTAAGGCTCATTGAACTGTGCAAGGTTGTTCCGGATGGAATTGTGTGTTTCTTTGTCTCATACTACTATATGGAGTCGATCGTTGCTTCCTGGAGCGAGCACGTGACTTACATACATTGCCACATTTTATTAATTGGTGTTTTTAATAATGAAAACAGGGCCTTCTACAGCAAATACTGCGCTACAAGCTCGTCTTCATAGAAACGCAGGATCGCGCAGAGACTTCGCTTGCGCTGGAAAACTATCAACTAGTTCTTCTTTTTTTTATTCTTGTGACTGTTTTTTTAATGAGCAAAAGGCTTGCAAAAACGGAAGAGGCGCCGTCTTGTTTTCCGTTGCCAGAGGAAAAGTGTCAGAAGGTTCTTTATTACCATTACTCTTACTATTGTTATTAATATTATAAAAAGGCGTTGATTTTCATCACGAATGCGGAAGAGCTGTTATCATGTTTGGCATCCCTTATGTGTACACCGAAAACCGGATCTTGAGAGTAACCTTTTATTCTTTTCTGCTATTCTTATAATAATGCCCACTCAGGCCCGTTTGGATTATCTTCGACACGAGTTTTTTATTGAGGAAAACGACTTTCTAACTTTTGATGCCATGCGCCATGCGGCCCAGTGCGTCGGGAGGGTCCTCCGGAGTAAAACCGACTACGGAATTATGATATTTGCCGATAAAGTTTGCTTTTGCTTATTTAAATTCAGTAGAATAAATAATTAGTTTTCTCTACAGCGCTACTCCCGAATGGACAAGAGAGAGAAACTGCCGCTGTGGATGCAGGAGCATCTTAAGAGAAACACAAACTTGGCTACACAGGACGTTGTTAACGCCTCAAAAGTATTCTTGAGAGATATGGCTCAACCTTTTACTTTGGTTGCAAAAAAGTTTTTAACTCTATAGTAGCTTTCTTAAAAAATACTAATAGTGCATTTTCCTTCTGTGCTTGTTTCCACTTTTTATGTGACTGACTTGCATTCTGTTAGAGCAACCAATTGGCTACGCCCTTTTAACTGAGGAGCAAGTTAAGGAATATCAAGAAAAAGAAACTGATTACGATTAATTTTGTTATTTTTTGTTAAATAAAGAAACATCTATTCACCCTTTTAATGTTATTATGGACATTTCGCATAGTTAAGTAGAGCTTCAAAATAAGGCCCCCTCCAAGAACGTTGGAGAATCGTGTGCTGTTTCATATTGATTATATGAAGTTTAATATTGCCTTTTTTATATAAAAGTATTTTTAATTTTATAATTGTATATTTAAAATTTTTTTAACGTTTTCATTTATTATATGTTTCATTTTTTATTTTTTATTCTTATTATACATAATTTCTTACAGTATTCCCTTTCTCTTTTTTATTTTGTGGTATAAATATAATATAGGACCTGCCAAAAGTCCTTGGCATGGGATTGTGATAGTATTAGACGAGGCAGCGTAGCTGACCCTGAATGTGGGGCCTTGGCTGTAACACGTCAGTCTTCAAGAGGAAGAAGTATAAGTTAATTGTACTTTGAAAACAGTTTATTAACTCGTTTGTAGGTTCTACTAAATATTTATTTTAAGAAAAGAATATATACTACTTACTGTTGCTTTCGATACTTTCGGTTTTATTAAAATTACGGCGTCGTCTGTGATTCAGTAATTAAAATTATGGTCTGAATGTAATAGTGTAATGAAAAATGCTACATCCTAGTACATGATCGCTTAATCGGGTCGGCCAATTCTTCTTTCCAAACCCTGGTTATAATTATAAAAGGATGTACTCGACAGTAGCTTAAGGGTTTTTCAAGAGTTTAAGCAATCTTCAGGTCTATTTAAAGGGTTTTTTCTTAGTTTAAAAAGTTATTACTTTTAACGATGTTAGAAAATACAAGCAGCCATTTATGTTTTTTATATCCCATTGCACGCAAAAAAATAGGTTGATAACTAAAAAAGTTGCTCTGAAACTGAATCCAATTTTAGTAATTTTGTAGAGTTCACAATTTAAGTACCAGTAATAATACAAAAAAACTAAAAATGGAGCTATTAATATCCAAAATTAAGGAATAAAAGTAGAACATCTTAAATAGAGGAGCACCAACAACTTTTAGCCATTGCTGGGTTTTAATTGTTTCCTTTTTTTACTACACCTATTTTTTTGTACTGTATACAAAAAAAGGATCGACTGCTGATGATAAGAAAATGGTCTTAGATGCCTATATCAAAAATCTATAAAGCCCCTCCAAGGTTCAATAATACAATTAGAAGAGCCACTATTTTTGCTGCATATAACTAAAAATTGGATAATTATATTTTTGATGTAGCTACGAGTCAGGTTTGGAAAAGATGAAAAAAAAGTCTTTTTAGTACTCTGAAAGATTGGAAATTTCGGTATATGCTGAATTTTTATTTTTTTTCAGATTGTTTTTAAAAGTAATCCTTTTTAGTGCTTGTACATGTGTAAAGAATTATCAAAGGCCTCAAGTTAACAAAGCACTTAAAAAATCAAGGTAGCTTAATAATAAAATGTCTATTCTTAATAATATTAAACTACAGGTTATTTTTTAATTGCTTAGATTTTCTAAGCTTCCTTAATCACGGCATTTCTACGAGATCTAAAATCAAACCGGGGATACATCAATATAATATCACATCCAATATTTTTTTCGAATTACTATACACTTAAGTGAACAGATACTAAAAAGCTCCTTACGAAATAAAAAGTGTAGCTTTCGGAATCCGGTAGATGAAGGGAACCTTAGCATTATATTGAATTAAATAAAACTAGGTGACCATAGTATAACCTCTACTTTTTGAGGCGCCCCATATAACCAGTAAAGCTCACCCTTTATTTGTTAGTATGTTGACTCCCAAAGAAATTTTTTTAAAACTTAAAAAAAGTAGTGGATATGTATCCTCCGGGATTCATACCTACAATTGCAAACAGGAGTTAAGGGATAGAATAAAATTATGTTCTTGTAAACAATTTTTTTATTATAGTTTAAATATCTGTAACTAGAATTGAGGCAACATAACTATATATTTTAGACAACTTAAAGGGACTTGGTTTTATAATTTATAAAGCAACTTAAAAAATCACCTCTGCACAATATTGTGGCAGAGGTTTTCGAGCACATGTATTAACTTTTTTTGTATATATTTTAGTTCTTTCAAGAATTTTTTTAAAGTCTTGTTAACATTTTAGGTGATAAAGTTACTAGAATGCACTCTCTTGACAAATTAGACATTTTAAATTTGTCTGATCAATTTCGCGCTGTTATATTTGGCGGCTTTGAAATCCAATATATGCTTGCACGCCGTCTTTTTTATTAGAACAGTTTTTGAAAGAAAAACTAATATTTGCGTTATGTAGATAACCGCATATGCAAACCAGAAATACCAATAATTATTGACAAAATTTTTAATTGAAAACTCTTTTCATGTAAAATTATTTAAACATGATAAACACTTTATATTGGTTTATTAGAGACTTATATATCTGCTTTTCTTTTGATAGCTATTATCGATTCTCTTTCTTTCAGATCTTCTCTTTACTGGGCTGACATAAATTTTGCAACCTTTACAATCCTCTTTACAAACTTTCGATAATAGCTATAAGTAAATAGGAAAAATAAATTAATAAAGTGATTTATAGCTTTCATTTTAAAATGTTTTAATACATTTGTAATGATATTGTAGGTGAGGGATTCTATATTAAAATACTCAAAATTTTTAAGTATGTATTTTTAATATGCTTATAGGAGTAACCACAATACAGGAGAGGTTATAATTGTTCTTAATTTCATGTTATCTGTAATATGGTTAAACCCTTCCTCCACTCAAACATTAAAGTTATAAATTTGAAGGTACAAATATAATCTTGTAAAATAGTGTATTTACTTAATATAGATATTTTAATTGTATGCCTTAATTACTTATTAATTTATAAAGCAAAAAAAAAGTATTAAATTTATTTTTTTTAGCAAATTCTGATATACAAGTCATCGAATATATCTCTCTAAATTTAAATATTTTCTTTTTAGCGTTGCTCAAACACCTATATAATTTTCTACTTGACTAAATTAGAACCTTGAATATAATTTTCGACATCATGTACGAGCCCGCTGTGTATAGGTGACTTGTGCTCATCGCAAACAATCCTAGTACTACCATTAATGATATTTTTCAATACAATGCCAATACTGTACAGGTGACCATGCCCATGTACTACAAGTACTGTATACACCATGCGAGATTTTAGTGTGATTTAATAAGACTTAATATCGCCGGAGACCCCTATAGACGCTGGCCAGTGTCATTATGTCACTCATTACATGAGCCAGTTAAGCAAAAAGTTTATTAAGCTTGTTATTTAAACTGAGTCCTTCATATGTTTTAGCAATTCCTAAATTCTCCTTCAGTATTTCTCATGAATTCAATGTAATTATTCTCTTCATTATATGCAGTCTCACTGAGTTAAGTGACTTCTTAATGATTTATTAAACTTTCCACGAAAACTTTGTCTGTTTCATTCTATATAGTTAAAAAAAACTTGCCTATTAAAGCCCAACTTCATTGAGACTGCATGATAATACTTTGTTATGCTCGATATTATTTTATATTATTGTTGGCCAGTATAGTTATACGTTGAATTATTGTATCTTTCGATTCAACTGTGGCGTTATATGAATTTTGGTATAATTGAATCTCTTTCACAAGTTTGAGCGCTTTTAGCTGCATTAAAGAAGTTTGTATTAATAAGTGATAGGTTATTAAACTTAATTTATCTGTGCATTCCCTTCATTTTTTTAAAATCTGAATGAAAAGAGAGAAGGACAAGCTCTTTTTGTATATGCTATTATCTGATTAAAATACCCCTTTATTTTATAGTATACCTGTTAAAAAAGTATGACAGACTTGATTAAGTCACATTGACTTAAGGAAGACTTCGTTTAATTGTTATTGAAATTTAAAAATTTTAAAAAAATATTTTTTCCTTAATATATAAATATTGAAACATAGCTTTTAGCCGACATTTTAAAATATCTTATACATTTAATTTATCTCCGTAAAGGCATCACCATACCATGTTGTAGTATAGGTTGTAACAAGTTCCTTTCTTTATCGCATACTTTTTATGCTTTTTAAGCTTTTTTTAGGTGGGCTTAATTTTTAAGTAGTTAGAATCTTTACTTTTTTATAATTTATAAAGTATATTTCTTAAAGTATGAGTTTCTTTTATTAATCCTCTCTTTATAATGTTTCATATTTTTATTAAAAAAAAAGTTTACTTTACTCATTAAAAACACCTCCTGCACTTTCCTATCGAATACTAAAACTTTACGGTCTGGAGGCTATAGGAGTCAAATTAAAATTTAATGACAATGGTTTGGTTGACATTTTCTCAGCCTACAAACTTCCCGACAAAAGATTAGAAGGGATATCGATGCAATATACTCTGGCCCGAGTTCAGTAATTGATGGCGGAGATATCTATGTCAACATCCACTACAGAATAGTACTTGCTCGAAACCCAAATAGAGTTGTTCCTTAGAAAAACTGACTAAAGAAAAAGGGATCCTTGAAAAAGATCCTAGTGACCCGATTCATTATACCCCAAACTACACATTCGATGTGCTTGAAATTGCCCTAATGAAGAACATTTGTGGTTCATTTCTCTATAACGTTGTTGGAACTTACTTCTGACCACAACCCTGTTTGTAATCACGCTTGATGGTTCTTCCTACAATATGCTAAAATTGGAGAATATAACGAATTGGTCTAGTTTTATATAAATGTGGAGGGCGACTTTCTTTTTTTATGGCTCCTTCGTCAACGCAGTAACGCACTTAGAGTCTAATTCTTGAGTCACACAATCGAGCGACAGTTTCATCTCATACTACAGGAAAAATTGAAACGCAAAATTATCAAACGAAAGCGTATGAAAAGAAGATACTCACTTACTAAACCCCAAACGGCAAATATTTTTTAAACTAAGGGGGTAATATGCTTAAAAAGGATCTGCTTATTTTTTTCAACAAAAGTTGGATGATAAGCCTAAAAATTTAAAAGTCTTTGATAATTCGTTTTGAATAAAAGCAAAGGAGTTGAAGAACAATAATAAAATCCTCCTTTAACACTTATATAATCCACCATGAAGGTACGCCGTTTATTTTTAGTTAGACAAAGCTAATATGTATGCATGGTTACTAAGCGCTTGCCTCCATCCCCTAACTTTCCCGTTTTACCCTCTATTCCCTCCATAACTGAAGAGGCATCAAAGGAGTAAAAAGTCTACTTTCCACCAACAGAGCAAGCGGTCCAAATGGTATAACTTATCTAATGTCTAATGCTAAAAAGTCTCTCATTAACTGCACTCACAAGTTGTTGAATTGGTGGATAAGCAGTCGGCCGACGTTAGTGCAACTTTTAAAGACACACAAGAGCTACTTAACTTTACCTTAAAAAAAAGTTTTAGTATAAACGAAACTGGCTATGAACAAGTGAGAACCAAAGCCTAACTAAAAACCTGAGTATCCGCACCTTTTAGTTACAGTGCGTATTATACGTATATATCCAGAGCATTACGCGTTTGATTTGAATATAAGTAAATATAAGTAAACATTTTAAAGATTTGTAATAAGAAAATAAACTCACTAACGTTAGCGGAATAAAATTTAACTTTTCTAAGAACTATTAAAGTTGAAGAGTTGCAATTCTTGCACGAAACCATTTTAAAAGTTCTTTTGCGGGGGAAAAAAGCAGTTACCTTTTTGTAATTAAAAATGAAAAAGACCTCTTAGAGATCTATCGACTTTTTAAAGAATGTCAGAGAAAATAAGAACCTTTTCTTTAAAATATATTTAAAAAACAAAAGAACCCCCGTGACCCTTCTTTATAACTTTAAACTTGATCGAAAAAGAAAAGAATTGTAAGCATTAAATAACGAAGTGGGTGGGAGTGCCATGTTAGCTTGTTTAACTTTTTTTTATAAAATTTAATTTAATTTTATAAAATTTCTGACTTTTTTTTACTTCTTGAAAGATTATTGATATTCTAGCTTCAAGTGTTTATTTTTAAGCCCTCTACAACCGTATATATTTATAATCTCCGAATATTTGACACCATTAACTATTTTTGCTGGGGTTTTTTCTCTTATAATACTTTTAAATTTTCCGTGGGTTGTAGTTTCCTAGTGAGAAATTCGTAAGAATTTCTCAAGCCTTTTGCTAATAGCTTTTATCCTACTTTCTACATAATTTTGTAAAATGAGAACAGCCTAGGAAAGAAAGAGTCTGTTTAGTAGTTTATCAAAGTTCTTGCAGAACGTCAAAAGAATATAATTACGATATAACTATTTATTAATAAATTTTTTTAATCGCAATTTAAAATTTTTAACTTCCAAATTATTAAATTTTTAATTTTTTTTTGAACCGCACCAACTTTAATGATATGTTTAACCGAAAACTATTGTAGTACGAAGACAGTTCTTCAAGAATATCAGAACAATATTTTTAATTTTAAAATAAATTAATTTCGACTTGAAAATTTTTATAAAAAATAGATTAGATAAGAAATCTTAAACCATATTATTATAGTATAATATTTTAAGACCTTTTTTACTAAATTCTTTTATTTTATTAAAAGTAATAAATAATTTAATAAAAATCACACGAACACTAAAAATTTATTTATCAAATGTACAAAACTTTTGCGACTGCAGAATTCGTTATAAGGTAAAACAGAACTGTTCACATGACCTAGTAAGTACATTATGACAAGTAACCTTAAGAAAATGTAATTTTATAAAAATTTCAGTCAAAATATTTTTTATCTAAACGAATTATTTATTAAAAAACGAAATTCATAAAAAATTATTTAAAGATGGAAATTTATTAAAAAAAATGATTACAAAATGAAATGTATATATTTTTTACTATTATTAATATAAAAAACGTAAAACAAAGTACTGTTTATAAGGCTTTATATAAAAATAAACCTAATCTAAGAGTTAACGAAAAAAAATAAAAATTTATGGTGACAATTATAATAAACATAATATAAAATTTAATATATCTTTAAAAAGTTAAACGGAAAAAAAAATTAAAAAAAAGTTTTAATTTTACTCCGATAAAGTAAATATTTTCAAACTTCAAAAATAGAAATATAATAACTCTTGCAGTTTATTCGTATAGCAATACTTAAATTATAAATAAAATGTGATAATGTGCGTTACTAGGTTTGCCACGTGCATCCTGGACAATAGAAAAAAATAGTTTAGTTGCGCGTTAAAATTACAAATTATATGATTGAATCAATAAAATATGATTTTTCAGAGCACAAAACTACTTTTATTGCGCTAAGGTTTTTAAAACTTTATAGAAACCAACTCAATTCCTCCTAAAGCTAACGTTAGAATTCAATAATGGAATGCCCTTGAGAACTTCGTGATAACAAACAGTACTATCTTCAGAAACGACAGCGAGAATAAAGCTAATAAAGTGAATTTTTCTTTTTAACTTTAAAGAAGCAATAACTCTGCCACAACCTTTCAGAAATAGCAAACTTATCAAATTGCTTATCAAACCTTTAAAAAGATTATAAGTCAAATAGTTCAGATAAAATTCGTGGATTAAAAATTACCAAGCAGGAGAGACCGTTTTATAGGAGGCTATGGGCAAAACTACTCTTTCCTTAGTCTGATAATAGTAAATATAGTTATAAACTAAAAAAAGTTTTAATTTAAGAAAACAATCAAAATTATAGTAAAAAGTAAAAGAAGTATAAATGACTAAAAGGTCAGAAGAAAAATAAAAAAAGTGCTTGAGGCTTTGGAAGACTGGCATGTAAGTACATATATAAGTTTCAGGCTTATAATATATCTACTACAATAACGGCTAACATATGTATATAAACAAAACTGTGATAATATACATTATTCTTATCGCAACGCATAATAATTTCTGTTAGAAGACTCAAGCAAGGTAATAAGTAAATAATAACTAGATAAAATTTAACCTTTTCCCGAAAACTAATGTATTCCAAACCGTTTTTACATATATATTTAGCATCTTTAAAGTTTTTGACTAAATAAATCCATAAAAAATGTTATATTATTTAACATCTTAAGTAAAAATATCAAAAACTTAACATTAAGAAAAAGCTAACACGTTTACTTAGCAAAAACCGTAAATTCACCTTCTTGATAATTAAATAATTAAAAAAAAAATTATCTACACTTGTTAGAATTATTGTTGTAATATGCCAAAATTATTTTTAGGGTGTGTGAAATTTAAAATAGCTTAGAAAGTTACTACTATATTGTATTAACACAAAACTTTTTTTTAACATTTTGACTTTATAAAATAGTGAATATAAACATTAAGTGGTAACACTTTTAAAAAATTATTTTTTAAGAGAAGGTTTTACTAGTTTCTGCAATATAATAAACAATTAAATTTTTTTACCATACACTAGATTCTGCAAAACAATATAGAAAAGGCCATTCATAACCAAAGTAGTTTAGTGGAGCGTCCAACCTCTTCCTATTTCGAAACTACCGGTAAATAAAGACGATTTGCCTGGGATTTCTGCTTTTATATTTGTTGCTGGTCACCTTTATTACGTTATTAAGCAAATAAAAAACTCTATTTTCATTATTACAATGTGTTTAAAGGCTAAATGAAAAAAAATTAATTGGCAACTTAACAACAGGAAAAAAGGAAGTTTTTTGAGGAGAGGATCCACTAACACCAAGCAATTTAGCCTAGTGACTTAATCATTTTGTCGCTCCACGTCCTTCAATATTTTCTATTGTAACAATCGGTTTAAACGGTAAAAGTTCATTCTGATCTAATATTAGTTTAAACTAACTATAACATATTTTTAATGAATAATATATAAATTTATTGTTTTTTAAAATGAGAGAGTGAGAAAACCGGAAGGTGGATAAAAGCTCGCATTTACTAAGATGCAACTCATAGTTTAACTTTTATCTTAAATCTTTATATTTCTACCTCTCCATATCTTAAAGCTTTGTCTTAGCGTTTAAGTGAAGAAGCTAAATAATCTTATTAACGCTTTGATTGTTATGGAAGTCCCTTTTCAAGAGATGATTACTCGAGCTTTATATTCCTTGGTGGGCGTACCATTTTTGATAATAATTTTATTATTAATAAAAAATATAGTTGTCTACTAGTAAGCCTGAATTGGTTTTCATTTAAAATTTGGTGTGTCCTGTGAAGCTTTAGCCAATTTTAAGAAAGTTTCTTGGCAAAAAGGGAAGTATTATATATATTACAGAAAAGAAAATTATTCTTCTTGGTTGTTTAGCCGTAGCATCCCCATTACCTAATATGTTTAAAGAAATTGTTATCTGGACGTTTGTGTATATAGTCTGACGTTAACCGTTTATAGGCGAGGCCACTGAGTTTCCCATATAAGTGTTTAAAATATTATTTTAGACAGGGTTAGTTTTTAACGGGACCTACAACAGTTGGACTGAAAAGTTTCTGATAACCTGTTTATTATAAAAGTTGGCCGAGGTAGCTAATAAAGGCGATTCTAGCAAATTTGTATCACTTGTACTATTTTTATGATTGTTATTATATTTAAACGAACCACTATATATTGTAATTATTTTTGTATTAATATTTAATTTAAAGTTAATACTACATTAACGTTAAACATCAATTATTTTGGTTTACTTGTAGGGATACGAATACGCTCTGCGCAAGTTTATTTAGTAAAATGTTACCTTCTTCACTATGTTAAACGTAGTGACCAACCTTATGAGACAGAAAATTATACAACATAGAATGTATAAATTTTTCTTACATTTCTTCTGGTTTCGCATCAAGTTTTTAAAAACTAATAGCTGTTAGGGTAAAAGGTAACGAGCAAAGTATTACCACTTAATTAACTTATTAAATATAAAAGCAGTGCACATCCTAGATTTTAGTAATAAGAAAATATTTATTTGACAATACCTTATTTCTTATTATAAACCTGTAATAAGAACTTTAACATATAATATTAAAATTATTTTTATCAGAAACTCTTTTTCCAGCATCTAGTTACTAGTTAAATTTTCTTGCGTTCTCAAATAACTTTTAAAAAGGGGATTCTGGCTTGAGGTCGGAGTTGCTGTGTTTCGAGGTAATATGGAAGATTTTCCTTCAGCAAGCCTTTTTTTTAAAAAATAAGCGAACCCCATTGCAATGCAAAGTAAAGCCGCTCCAGCTCCAGCCCCTAACCCTATATGGAGAGCCTTATTACTATTTTTCGCAGGCGACACGCTTCTTAACTGAGACAGTGTTGAAATATTTAAGTTCTCTTCTTTATCCTTGTCCTCTTTTTCAATTAAAGATGCGATGGTCGTCGGCCTAGTGACTTCTTGTTCTACTGACAAAGTAGGGATAGGAAAACTTGGGCCATGTGCGGTAGGGGCGGTGATAAGTTCCGTAATTTCTGTGCATAGCTTCTCAGCAAAAGTATTTAAAAGGTTATGGAGCTCATCAAAAGACTTTGTCGTAAAAATAAGTTTTTTGTTTCCAGTTATCTCTAATAATTCGGAGTAATAGTCTTTATGAACACCAATACCAATGGTTATAATTATAAAAGGTTGCTTCATTTCACGAAGTGCTGGAGACACATATTTTACACTGTATTCCCGCTCATCGACTAACCCTCCATCCGTAAATACTAATATGATTTTAGGTAGCGCTTTGCGTCTAACAGGTCTGTCTTGAAATAACGTTAGATTCAATGTACTAAGAGCGGTGCCCAAAGCCGTAGTTGTGAGCAAATCGTCCTTGGCATAAGTTAACTTTTCAAGCACGTTGTTAAACAGGTTATAGTCATAAGACGATTGATCATGAAAGGTATTTAAAATAACTGATTTATTATTAAACGTAGTGATAGCAACCCTAGTATTATTTTCCCCTAAAGGCAAAAGATGAACTAGCTTTGAAGTAAAATTTTTAACTAATTCAATTCTTTTGACTGCAATGTCAACAGATCCCTCACCGGCATCTCCGTACGAAATAGAGGGACTCTTATCAATTAGAATTGCAATGTCTGCTTTCAGCTCGCAAATTTGAGAAAAAATTGCATGGGGTAAAAATAAAATATATGCAATAAAAACTAGTGTATTTTTCATTGTCTATACGATTTAGTTAAAAAAAAAGTGGTACTTATATATGGTAGGACTGTAAATTATTAACAACAATAAGATTTATTTATTACGCAGAATACTAAAACACCACCAACCACAAGAAGAGAAAGAGATGACAAAGTTCCTAACAAAAACCACATTTTTAGTTACACGGAGTTGCGTTTAAAGCTAATAACCGCAATATTCAGTTCCAAAGTTATAATACCTTTATTGTTAATTTTTTTTTGAACCTTTATTATTTACTAATGCTTAAAGATAAATTTTAAATCTTTAAAATATGTATTTGAGCTAGTTTCTTTCGATCTGTTGATTAATTTAAGACTGTAAAAAGAATTATTTATCTGGGTGGTTTTCGAGGTACAGATTACTTCTGGCAAACAAATAGTTGTATGCTACCTATTGGTATTAACAGTTCTTCCAAGCTTAAATTGTGGCTACACGACTTTTTAAACAAACTTAGCGACTTTTAACACACCTGTAACTAATCATTTTTATTGAATCTCTTGGTCTAAAAACTTCTAAAGTGGATTTACGTTTATCTTCGGCTTTGGGAGTACAATCACGCTTTATTACATACTTAGAGCTTTCTTTGTGGAAGAGACTCGAACAATTATAGAATGACGTAACGTTTATCGCATTTAATTCTTTGCTGTTTAGAGGAAGATCCAAAAAGGTAAACTAACTCTTTATTAGTTATCCATGCATAGAATGTTTTGAGGTTTTTCTATTGCTGCACAGCTTCCTTTTTTTGGTGATTGCTTGCTTTTTGGAACCGCTTGGGCAATTTTCTGGAGTATCAACGTTGTATAGCGCAGTTCTAGAACATTGTCGATCAACTTCGTAGCTGAGCTCAGATGATAACTTGGTGGGACATGACTATTACGAGTATTCTCATCAAAAGCTGTAAAAAATACTGGCATATAAAAAAATTCTTAAATCTATATCCCTTTTTTTTTCAATTCTAGTATGATAAATTTACGACTTAATTACTTTCATCAATGTTATAAACCTTTTATTTAAACTAATTAAAATGGAGATTATTTTCCTACTAAATTTTATATGATGCATCGTATACTTACTAATTTTAATATCCAACTTGCCAGTTTAGGTTAATGATGAAGCTTATATCTTCACTGCTTATCAAGTTATAGATAAAATTGTTGTCCAGAGGGTTATCGGCCCTCATTATTTAACTTAACATAGTCTTGCCGGTTCTGAAAGCTGTAATTTTAGCAAAATTTCACGATACTAGACCTCATAATAAACTGATCAGAAGCTTACTAACCTTTTTTCTAACCCTCCGTTAGTGTGTATAGCTTATTTAGTGTTTTAACTTAAAAAAATGTTCCTATTTTTCTGGTATAGGTGGAAAATTTATCCAAAACATTGAGAACTTTACTCGCAAAAAGTAGCCTTCATCTTTCAGCGCCCTAACGAAGGGTAAACACTTCTCCCTAGTTTAAAGATGGTTATTCATATTTTTAAAGGCTCACACTGCTGATCTGCTTTGTATAAATATTTATTTAAGTAAAACTTAAGTGTATTATCTTAAAGGCCCCTAAAAATAGTAAAATTACTTTTGAAAAAATTGTTAAGTAATAATTGAATACTAATGGGAGAAATGTGACAATGAAACTTTTTTTTACTTACACACACTAAACCTCTGAAGGGACAATCCCCACCATTCCATCGTTCATTAAAGGAATTATAACAATAATAATACTATTTATCTTCCTTTAAACTTTCATAATAAAATAGGAGCTATAATTCTAAATTTATTGGAATAGACAAAGCTTTTTTGTTTAGTAAGCCGTACTTAACGGCAAGACTGGAGAATCTCCGATACAAACTTGTTTTTTCCTAATACATAAATTTTTATATATTTTTAGATATTTTTCATAATATTAATGTAACCGCACCTCCAAGTTATTAAAAATTTCTCGATGTTGATCGTAACAATGATCAAAGATTCGAAGCAATCTCCTCGTCCATATTACAAAACTTTTCTTGTGAGATGGATCAACTTGTTGACTTTACAGCAAATATAAAATATTATACAAAATAATTTTTCTTAAAAAATGAAACAGAATAATAAATAAATTTCAAAAGTTAAAAAAAAAATTGGAGGAAGTCTTAAAAATTTTGGCCTTACTAAGACGGAAATTGCGTTGTACTGTTTATAAAGAGATTAATCTGGTTAAGCAAGTGAATTGTATAATTCAATCCACTGCATCTGTTTAAAAACAAACGACTTAAACCAAATTCATTTTTATAAAAATATAAAAGAAATTATATAATGTTTACGTGGTAAATTGACTTTACAGTAAAAACTATATTGTTTTTGAAAAAAGACCTTTGTAAAATGGTTTCGTGTAATATTTTAGACAGTAAACGCTTTAAAACGATAGTAAACACTTTAAAAAACCAACTTTCTTAAAAAGAGAAAAGTCAACAGTATTCTTAGCGAACAATTTAAAACGTATAGCACATAATAAGCTTTAAACAGTACTAAATTTTAAAAGTACATTGAATTTTATTTTTTGAAAAAGGACAAGATCCTGTTGTAAATTTATTTCCGCTAATACTCGTAATATAGTTCGACTACAATAAAACTTAAGGAAGAAAAAAAGAAGGCTTAACTTTGTAGAAAATTTGTAGGATTTTTTATTATACAAATTCAGTGTTTACTGTTTACAACGAAGACTTAAGAAATTGTTTTATTACTTTTTTCATAGTTTATAATTTCCAAAGAGATATTGTAATATGACGTAGAAAACTTTTTAAATTTGGTCGACTGACTTGCTGGACTCTATAAAAAAAGTTTTCCTTTTTTTTATTTTATATTCTTTTTACACAAGTTTTTTATAAAAAAAAAATAATATCCTTTAAATAATTTTGCTATTTTTTTTAATAGTAGCGCTTCACCTATTGACAATCTTAGATCTGACACAACTTTTAAAAAATCTTTTCATACTGGTATTAAAATTTAGTTTCTAGAACCGTTCTGCTGTTTTTACAGGGATACTCAATTAAATTTTCATGTCTTCCATGTTTTTAAATAATTTAAATTTTATTTTAAATCTGCAGTTACTGATATTATTTAGTATTTATTGTATTGAATGATTGAATCAGATGTACTTATATAATCTTTTTATAATGATATTCAAAATTGATTATTATTTTATAATATATAAATTCGAAGTGTAAACCTACCTTTTAAATTTTTTTCATAGTAAAAATTTATTTTATAAATATTTTTTACAGTTAAGTATAAGAACTAAAGCATATTCGAAACCTAAAATTTTTTATCTACTTTTTTGAAATTTTTTGAAACTGATTTTAAAAAAAGTAGTAGAACTGATGCAATTGTAAAATCTTTTAATGATACTCAAATTTAATTTTTTTTAGCTGTTCTGCTGTAAATATATAAAAGAGCTTTTTAGATTAAAAGTTTATAATGTTTACATTTTATAATAAATTTAATCTTATAAATCTACTCCGCTAAGAGATTTTATAAATGTACAAAAAATTATACTGAAAACGATTACAATAATATTAAAGTTTCCTAATTAAATTTTTTAAATAACAATTTGTTAAATTAAGATGTTAAGAATCGGCTTATGTTAACTTTTTATAAAAAATTTAATTGAAATTTCCTTCCTTAAAGTAAAAAGTGACTAATTATTTTTTTAATGTTTATAAAGAATAAACTTTTTAAAAAAGGCAAACTACTTCAGTATTGACAATAATTTTTATAAAATTTAAAAATTAATTAATGCAAATAATAAGGAAAAAATAAGTTACACCAAAATTAATATACTATATAGAAAAAATTAAGATAATCTTTTTCCACAAAATTGATTGATTAAAATAAATCACTCAAGTAGATTTGGCCCGTGAGCAGCGCAGAGCACAACAGAATCTTTTAAAACTAAAGTTGGACAATGACAATCTTTTATAAACTTCTTGGCATACGCGCCCAGCTCGAGGCAAATTTGTCTAATTAAAATAAAATAAATTCCAAAGAATTAAAAAAAATTATAATTATTTTATTATTTAAAAAAATTATATTAAATTTGAAATTTACAATAATAATTATAAAAACCACTATAGGAACTTAGTGGAAGCGTAAAGTAAACAGAAAAAATTTAGTAAAGTTTACTACTTTCAAAAATATTTTTAAAATTTATTATAAAAGAAAAATAAGTTTGAGTGTTTATTTAAAAAAATTAAAACAGAAACTAATTGTGCTAATTTTAAGAAAAAGAATTATTTAAAATCTTTTTAATTTGAATTGTTGAAAAAAATAAAAATTAAGAAAATATTCAAATTCTGCTTGAATAAATTTAAAAAAATTAAAATGAAAAGTAAAAAAAATAAATTTTAATTTTTTCTAAAACTATAGAAAAAATTAATTCGAGTTTCTGCTAATCTTTAAAATAAGATTTTTTTAATTTCTATTATTTTATATATATAATGTATATGTACAAAGATTGCTTAAAAAAATTAAAGATTTAAAAATTCGGTTCGAATTACAAATTAAAAAAAATTAAAATGTTAATAAATCGAATTCAGTTGAAATAGAAATCTTTGTTAACCTCAAGTGGTGCCAGACCCACGTGGTTTCATCGTAATCGGAAGGCAAACGAAGAATACTTTTAACATCATGACAATCATTTCGAGTTATTTGCTGAATTTGCTGTGCATTATTCAATTTATACATTAAAAATATTATAACAAAAGTAAAATAACTACAAAATAACAATTGAATTTCTTTTATAAAATTTCTGAAAATAAATTTTTTTTATTCGCTATAAGAAATTGCAAAATTTTAAACTATTTATTAATTAAAAAATTAATTCCAGTTCTACTTGTTCCTTATAAATAATAAAAATATATGAAAATTAAAATTAATAGTAATTAGAAAAATTAAGTATTTTCCCATTTTTACTTGTTACTAATTGATATGCACCTTCAAAAATTGTTTGCAAAATGAAAAGTAATTACATATAAAAGTTTGTTTTAAAAAAAGAATTATGTAAATTTCATTTAAAAAAATGATTTCAATTAAAAAATTGTTTATAAAAAATTATATGCACTAGAAAATAAAGTTTAAGGCAAGTACAAGCTTGCATCTTTAAAAAAGTTATAAAATTAATTTTTTTTAGTAAAAATAAGTAATTTTAAAAAAAATATTACCCTAATTTAAAACAATTCTACCTGTTGCGCTGCTAAAGTTTCCTCCATCTCTGAAAAAGGTACAAAATCCCAAGAAAACAAGTCCTGCAACGTAGCGTTGAAAAAGAGTAAAAATTTATAATCTATATTCTTATACCTTTTTTTTAGTTCCAGGAAAGTTGCATCGAGAGCGTTTCTCTATCATAACACAATCTCCAGGGTTTGCTAGTTCTGTTATTAAATTAACAAAAATGTTTAGAAAACAAGTTCCACAAAGTATACACAAAAGCTAATGTATTAGAGTTGAATATTTTTTTATCGTTATAATGATTTGTTTATCTCAGCAAAAGTTTGACTTTCTAGTGGAACAATATATACTTATTTAAATTATGCTACGAAATACTAACTTAAGCAGTTTTTAAGCTTTCTACTTACTTTTATTACTTAATTTAATATAATATCTCCATGTACTTTGTAGAAAGTAAGAAAATAAAAACGAGTTAATAATAAAACCCTAATTAAAAATTTTATGACCAAAAAAACCACTGAGAACTCGGGGTGGACTACTCCTCTAGTGTATGATAATTTTTAGTTAAGAATATTGCAAACAGTATAAATTATATAAAAATGTAATAATGATAATGATAACAAAAGAATATTGTTAAGTATGAAATATATATGGCAAGCCCAAACCAAAAATATAGTTTTAGTTTTTGTAAAAGTGTAACACCAATTAGAGAGCTAGTAAATCGCAACCTTGCATTTACTTAGTGCTACAGCTGAGGTGTTATGGGCTTGAGCTAAAAGAGAAAAGGTTGTGGTTTCCTTATTAGTTCTCAATCATATTTAACTTAAACTTTAAATAATTTAGTAATATTTTAGTATGTAAGTAGAGCGAAATCTCATTTATTGAAAGAAGCAAAAGCTGTAAAGGCATCCATCGTTAGAAAGTGATTTTTATCTTTTACATAACAGCAGGTGAAAAGATCTCTTTAGTCAATTAAATTATTTATATCGCAATAAAATTTTGATGAATTACGCTCGTTCCTTGTATGCATATTTATTGCAGATTTATGAAAATTTTTCTTAGTATAGTCTTAATCTCTAACTTTCATTAAATAAGTGTCTTTTGTCTTGCTCAAATCACTGAGATTCGTTTCAAATTTTCTATGTCCTGGAATAAGTTCTGTTGAAGTTTCCCTAGTTCTTTCATGAACATTACACGTTTTTTTAGTTCAAGTTTATTAGCCTCCGGGTTCTCTACTATTTTCATAGATACTAATGTTCTCAGAATTATAACTTTACATTTCTTTTTTACTTAGTGTGGAATACGTTTATCCCATCTAAAAAGTTTAACGTTTTTCCCTAAAAAAGTAAAGATTCGCACAAGACGGAGGAGCGGTAAGTTGCTTTTTACAACCTTAACGCAAAAGGCCAGATTACAACGTTGGTTGGAATTTACCTTAGGCAAAATAATTAGGACTCAAAGCTTAGTAAACGCTCTTCCAGTTTTTACAAAGGACGCTTACTTTTTGTCGTGATGAGCAACCCGAGAGGATAAAATCTTGCTTAAAACTTTATTAATTTATTTGAACCACGTTTATATTCGTAGGATTGCGATTGAGTTGTAGGAAAAGTCGATGAGTCTGCATGACTTTCACAACGTTGCTTAAAAGTTTAAAAAACACTTGGTATTCCTTCTATAACCAAATTTTTTAGTCTTCTTTAAAACATACATCCTTTTCTTGTTGAGCAACAAAAGCTCACTTTTTCTGCGCAGCGGAGGATAAAAAGTTCTGGGCTCTGCCTTAACTTTCGCCACTTAGCCGCCAATAAGCTGTATCAATAATGACTACTTGGTAATTAATTATGAGAACCACGGATGTGCAGTGCGTATGCTCGTAATTAAAAAATGACTCGCTCTTTACCGCGTTGAGAGTAAAGTCCTGCTCATAGCGCTGGCAAGAAACCTTGCAGATATATAGCTACAGGAGCCAGTGTAGTTCAGGAATAGAGCGACTTGTGTCAAGCGATGGTGCTCATAGCAAGGAAGCTTTTGGGACTCTTGCTTTCAGTAGCCTTAAAGATGACAGCAGCTGGCTGAATTCAGCCTTCATAACCTTTTCAAAATCAAGAAAAACGGTGTTTTTTATTAATTCGAAGCCCGGTGTAGTAGACACTAGCAAGCGAAGAATTCGTTTAGATATCTTTAAGTCCAGGCAATTTGTTAAATATTACGCAGTAGGTTTCATGTAATTCATTTATAACAGTATACCCAACTTTAGAGGTAAGTAAAAGCTTAGTAAAAATATGTTAATTTAATATTAATAAATAATTAAGCTTTATGGAATCACAAGTACCTATTTAAATTTATTTAACAATAAATCAATATACTGAAGCGCTACTTTTTTTTTGTATATGAAGCAATAAACAGTTTAGGTACTTCAATAAAAGTTTTTACATAAGTTACGTGTAATATTAATAAGGGGCCTGTGTGTTCTTATATCAGTATTAGAGTTGTATGTAATTCCGATAGTAGCATACTAGTTAAACTTATTTAATTTTCTCCTCTTTTTTTGAATATAATAGCCGTGTATGTAGGCTCGTCATCTAAACTTTTAACTCTTATTAAAACAAAATAAGTCGAAAAAAAAAATTAGTATTTTATCTTGATGTGGAGTCCAATTAACCTTTTCATATGGGAGTGTTGTTAACGTGAACCAGGAGGTCCAAGAAAATCTAAAATTGGTAGAGAACCCTGCAAGCCGCACTGCGTATATATAAGTAACTAAATAATGCGTCTCGCGGAGGCTTAATTGTTTTTGTTTGCCCTTTAGCTGCTTCACTCTGCAGTGATGAGAAAAAAATATCATACCTTGTTTCCTACGGTAAACTACTTTAGTGTAACGGTTTTCTTATACTATTATTATTCCTATTTTACAGTTATTTAAACTTTTGTTGATATGTTCGGGTATATATAGGCGCGCATAAAAAAAATTATGCAGTCTGATGAGGAAATTGGAAAGGTAGCTCAGGCCTCGCCAATACTTATATGTTCGTTAAGAATCTTTTTTGTTAAATTTTTTTAAGAGCCACCTAAGTGACAGTAATTTATTTATTGTCTATTTTATATAAAGCTAAAGCTTTAGAGATTTTCTTGGAAAGTTTAATTTGTCGGGCCACTAACTTTGCTAGAGAGTATAAGTCTAAAATTATAACAGCACAGCACTTGTATGTTTACCTTGTTATGTATTATTTTTGATAATTAACCCTTTTGTAATAGAAAAGCAACCATTTGTAAAACTCCTCAGTACGATTTTCTTACCCATATTTTCAAAGACATTCCTGATTTTATACCATCTTCACCATCTTTGACTTTTGATACGGAGTTTACTTTAAATTCTTTTGAAGCTCCAGCCCCGACAGCTCTAGCTGAGCAAGCTAAGCAGTCAACTGAAGTTGACTGCAAATCTGACATTACCGTAGATAATGCCTCTCAGTTAAATACATCATTTATGCAGAATTCGGATTATCATAAGCAGTGCGGTGATTCATTCTGCTACCTCCCTTCCCATCTTGCACCGCTGAACTCTTTTAATCAGAAATATTTTATTTCTTCGCACTCTTTACAGCCCAACCATCCGGGGCTGGAACACCAACATCAAGAGAGCAGTTTACAGCATTTTCAGTATCCACCATCCCTTTTGGCTTATCCTACCCCCGTTAGTAATCAATTCCAACTACAAACTTCTGTTTTAGGTCTGATTTCTCCTTCGAGTCGTGTTTTTCTTCAATTAGTTTATTTCTATGAGTGTAGGCTCCGAGCTTCCTAAAAGTTCTACTGTTTACCGAAGTAACAATGCTCAAGTGAATATACCGCTACCAGTAGAACTTATTAGCAGCACTTCGCGTAATTCGGATCTTCCTGTAGAACTTTGTAAGACTCCTTCTCCACTTAAATCTATAAATAGAAGGAAAAAAACTGCTAGAACCACTAAAAGAATCAATAAAACTAACAGAAAAAAATTGAGAGAGTACAAAACTTTTATTTAGGATTACTTACATTCACTTTTTAGTTATAATCTTTAACCAAATTATTCATGACTGTTAAAATATCAAAAAGTTCTTCTTTATCTTTGTAATGTGAGCTCGCTATATTAAAAACGTTATAAGAAAATTTTTTATCGCCACACGCTAAGGCAAAACCGAAAACTTTACTATAAACTTCTGGCGAAAACATATAATTTTCATCAGGACCTTCGAACAAGGCTTTAAGTTCAGGAAGGCACTTTGCCTTAATTCTTCTAGGAAGTGACCCATATGCTTTAATTAAGCCGAGAATTGCGTACTCAACACTTTTACCATCCTGTAAGTCGAAATTCGGAGAGTATAGGAGTGAGACAATGTGATCGTACTCTTTATTCTTGGCCTCTTCAAAGTGAATATGTATAACATTACTATACTCTGCCCTTCTCCACAGCTCTTTTACCAATAGAAGATTGTTGGTTTTAGTAAAATATCTCATTAACTCTTCACGGGTTTTTTTATAGATTAAGAGCTCGTTATCATTTGCAAAATGAAACACACGTAAAAGAGCTTCTTCAGGTCCGTTCACCAGATGGTTGAGTAAAAGATTTATTGTTTTTACTGTAATTTCATCTAAAATTAAGTCTTCTTTAAAAACGTTATTGACAAATATGTTAGTATATATCAATAAAGCCTTTTCAGTCCTCTTGTTGGAAATATATGCTTTGATGATCAAATATGCCAACTCCTTCTTAGCGCTACATCTTAAATCGCCTTCATTATTCAACAAAAAATCTTCTGGTTCGCCAATATTTTTTTTGAAAGATGAAATAGCTTTTTCATAGTTTCTGTTTTCAACCATTTCTTTAAATAATAAAACCCAGATATCAAAATTCCAAGGCTGGTTTCCTAAAAGTTTAGCACGAACGTTATTAATTTCTTCATCAGAAGTATCTTTAATAAAACATTTAGTGGCAAAGTAGCAAAAATTCCCTTTGTTTTCCGCTGACCAGCTAGCCATATTTTTTAATATTGAGAAATTTTTAATAATACTCAATAGAGAACTTGGACTATTAATTTCCGAGCAGCATTGAGCTAATAAAATCCAGGTTTCGGGAATCCATTTTACAATAAAAATTGAGTGCAAGGTATTAAAAGTTCTTAGACAAAGTTCAAAAGATGATTTTTCTATCAACTTACTGAACAATTTGTTTATAAAAATGGGTAATAAAGTTTTTTTTAACTCCATATGACTCACCATATCAATTAAGGTACTCAGTATAACAAATGCTTCGGTTATACTTCCCGAACTAGCGGCAGAATAAAAAAGATATTTAAGCTTTTTATAGGACTGAAGGCGTAAATTAGTAGTAGATTCTATTTTCATGGTATGTAAATTAATATCTGTAGTGGTCGAAGATTTTAAATCTAGATTAAGATAATCTTCATTAAAAGGGTATGCACTTTTTAAATCATTTTTAGTCTGCTCTATATGCTTCTTTAAATATTGCTTCAATTTATCTCTGGCCTTAAAATTTTCTTCTTTAGTAAAAAATTCTGTTGTGAATTCATTAACTTTGCAAGTAGAGTCAGTACGTGTTGGTTGCTGTTCTATGTTTTCAAGAGAGTTATATTTTCCAGCCTTATACTTTTGTATAATTGTAGCAGCAATTTCCCAAACTGGCAGAGCATAGTACCTTTTAGCATTAAGTATAGTAAAAGAGGGGTAGCAGATATAGAAGTGAATATAATGTCTAAATGGCAAACCGCTTAAAACCATAGCAAAAAAAATCCTAATTTCAAATAGAACTGGTGCTTTAAAAAAAGCTTCTTCTGCGATAAGAGAGTGGTTTTAATGGTTAAGCGTATACCGCATACAAACGCTAGATTATATTAATCTTAAAAATTTTTATAGTAAAGTTTTGAAAAGGATATAGCTGAAACTCTTACCGCTTATATACAAAAACTTTATAGTTTTTATATAAGGTGAAAGCAATTTTTTGAGGTTAGTAGAAAACTCTAAACTTTCTCGGTATATCTTTATAGTGGACATACCCAATTTTTATGTAACAGTAAAAGAGAGTGAGAGAGTCAAGGTATCCGTTTGTATAACTTATAGGTTATATTGGCTAGACTACGGTGAAATTGGCTTAACTTGAGAACCATTTAATCCTGTCGAGTTCTTTAGTAGTGCACATTGTGAAAGATTAATGAATTAAATTTGGAAGTGGCTTGTCCATTATGAGGAAAGCACATATACTTTGTTAATCAAGGCCTTCCAGTTAAATTTTCATTGACCTCTCCTTCAGGTTCACAATTGTCTTTAGTAACTTCTGTATTATAAGCGGAACAAAATAGTAGTAGTCTTATAATGTAAAGATTAAAGTGAAATAAGCCTATAGCACTCCTGCTGGGTCTTTGCAGCTGATTTTCCGTTTAAAGATGGTGCAACTGGACAGTAGTTAGATTTGTATAAAAATTAGTATAGTTGTCTAAGCTAGGTTTAGGCTACTAGATCCACCATAGTAGTAGGTAACGGCCTTTATTTCGTTGTTAGTCAAGTACAAAACCATGTTGATTTCGCTACATAAACAGTTCCAGACTACGTTAATTAATCTAGAACTTTGAGCTAAAGGTTTTCATCTATTCTTCTAAGATTGCTAAAGTAAGGCATACAGTAACAATTAATTCAAGCTAGACAGGTCTTTCTAGGCAATATTGGTAATGTTTGTAAACCGCATATTTAAAAAAAGGTGACCCGCCTAAGAATGTCAGTCAGACACAGAATTATGAAGCGATTTACTTCCAGTCATACACTAGATAATTTTTATTAGGAGAAATGAGTAGTACTATATATTAATAAAGTGCCCATTTTTGCTGTAATAACCCGAACAGAAACATTAGCAGTTAGTCTTCTTCATTCAAACAAATAGCTACTTTATAAGCATTTTCCCATAGATTAAAGGGAGCCATTTTAAAAAAGGCGTCAATTGTGACTTTATAGCATAAAGCACGACTTACACTTTATTTATATAATGTTTGTATACTGCCATCGACGTGTATAGCACATCTTTACCGTTAAATTATTCCCAACTTATATTAAAAGGAAGAATTATAAGAAATTAGCCTCTAGTAAAGTTATAATTAACTAACTAACAGTCTAGACATGTCAGCTAGTTAAATGTTCTACCCAAGTAGAACGAAAAAAAAAAAAAGATAAAAGATTTCCTCTTCTCTAGTTCTAGTAGCACTTTCTTTACCACTTCTTTAACAACTTCTTTCATCAGGTGCCAAACGCAAACAAAAATGAGTCTTTAAAAAATATATATCTTAATTAAAAACCAGATAACATTGCTTTTAGATCTATTACTTGGTGTACCCCAAGATATATTTTTTAGTGATGGAGCTGTACTCGTAGTATTTAACTTTGACACACAAACCTTACTTTTATTTGTGCAAGTCTTTTAACAAAATACGGGCAGTTTATACTACGCGCTATTAATTTAATTTTTAAAATAAAATTGTAGACTCACCGCAAACAGGCACACCAGCTTTACAAAAAAAGTAGTTTCTTAAATACTTTTTGGTCAAAGTAATAGGTGGTAAATAAAGCGATATTCTATACACAGTTTAGCTTTCACCTCTTCATGGTAGCTATGCTAAGATTTTTTATATGAGATCTCGCTTTTTTTAAAATGTAAATGTATAGTAAGTAAAAGATTTGCAATATGTAAGTTTTGATGACCTTAAGGTTAATATTAAACAAAAGGTTGCACTGTATACAAAAATCTACACTGATATGCACTTATAACACCCGTAGTTTGAAGAAAAAATAAACTTATTAAATAGTTACTAATATATTATGTTATGTATTGGTGAATACTCTATGAAAGCTTGTAAAAAAAAGGGTAAAAATACATACATAAAATCTTTTACGTTAACTTTATTTTGCTTGCAAATAGCAATTTCAAGCTTAGATTATCAAAAGCTCTTTTAAATAATTACGACAGCGAAAGCATATTGTTATGGTACACATTATTAACCAACTTCAAGAGGTCCCATCCCACATTTTCAACTTTGGGGTTGGGGTATTCTTAGTTTTCTATAGTCGTACCAGTAAATATAAAATAACTTAGTAAAAATATAAAAATCTAAGCAGTGGCAAAAATTATAGTTAAATAAAAATCCTTGCTAAGTGGGCCAAAAATAGTAAAGGCGTACAGTTATTAATACGAGTAATTATAGAAACCTTTTTAATATTAATTATCGGCAAAGTCGAAAATAGGAAAAGTTTCTAAGAAGAGTATATACCTTAAGGTGTCAAGTAAAAAAGGTAAATTTATTTAAACAAACATTGAAAAGATAATCGGCTTTAACGTGAGACACCTATAATAGTACAAATCAATCTAAAAAGAAAGGTTTTATTGTCGTAGGTCACTTAAGTAAAGTTTATTATGAGATTTAAAAATATATGATAATAAACACAGCCAATTACTATTATATATTATATTATAATAAATTAAATTATAATAATAAATACTCTGTTAATAAAATTTAAAATTAAAAATAGTTTAAAAGTAGTTCTTTAAAAGTTATCTAGCTCATTTAAAAAAGTTAACAAAAAGAAAGAAATAAGGTTAAAAAAATAAAAAGCAAAAAAGAAAAATTTTCAACTGTTATAAGAACTTAATAATCTCTACTAAGTTCTTGCGGGCTCAGGTTTAGCTTTATAATAGAGATGGATAGAAAAAAGTTAATTATGGTTAAAATTTCAAAACGTATGTTATTAGCACATCTACGCTACGATAAATTATATGCAATTATCAAAAGAGCTTAAGGTTAGCCGAGGTGGTATAAATTACATCTTGAAACCTATTTCCAGGAACTTTGGTCGTGCCAACAGTGAAAAACGCAAGTTAGTAAAACTGCTTAGCATCTAATGAAAAACAAGTTAATCGTTAAACACCTACAGTAAGCAAAGAATACAAACTGAATATATTACTGTTAGATAATGTGTTCAACTTAAAATTATTACAAACTATATATACAATATAGTAGACCATTTTTTTAAACTAAGTTACACGAACCCCCCTTTTCATTATGAATAAGACAAGCTCTACTAGCTTACTTTGCTCACGTTGGTCAGTCCCTCTTGTGGTATACAGTTTTTTATTACTTTTGGGCAATGCAATGGTACTTTCATCGCATTTACGCGCTGGGCGCTATCTTAAACATGATTTAGTTTTAAATATATCTTTAAAAACATTTTATATTACGAGATGTGACGAGAATTATAATTTACTGCAGAAATTTTTTTTTTCTATTTCAAATCAAAAAGAATTGCAAGACAAATTGTCTATTAAAAGTGAAAACCTTCCTTCAAGTTTGCTGCACTCTACTTTCTGTGAAAATGTTATTTTATACCGCTTGTTTTATTTAAATACAAAAAGCGGGTTACTAAAGGAAAATTTTGCTGTTATAAAAGAATTAAATTTGAGAAAAATACATATCAGTTCTTCTTTATTAAAAATATGTTTCAAAACTCTGCAGAACCCTAACTCTTTAAATTATTTTAAATCTAATAAAGAAAATTTTAGTGACTTAGAAGATATTTTTGGCATACTTACAAGAAGTATTGACGAATTTACACTTTTTTCTTGGCATCGCCTTCTATTAAGTTTGGAAAAACATGGTTTTAAAGTGAAAGGTGTATTTTATCAGGGTATGGACCATATATTTGGTGGAAACGATTTATCTTTAATAGCTAAAGTTTTTTATTATTATGAGGAATATAGTTTTAAGGTTTTGTTAATTAAATATATTGATGGCTTACCTTTAGAGAGGTTAAGCCTTTTTTTAAAGAAAACACTAGCCATAGTTAATGGAGTATTTTCTAAACATTGCAAAAAAAACGCGAAGGCTCTTATAGCCCGTTATAACCATATAACTATAGAAAGTGAGGTAAATAGAAACAGCTTATTAAACACTTATCCTTCCCCTCGGTTTCGCAGTTTTACTTTCGGCCTTATGAAATTTCAGATCTACAAACTTTATTAACAAATATTAAAGCTAAGCCTTTTCAGCATTTTAATGTAAGTCAAGTCACTTTTGAAACCTTTATTAACTTAAGCGATGAGAAGGTGCTTCAATTGATTCAAAATTTCATAGAAAATTCGGGCTTGGCAATAAGTAACAAGTCATTTTTTGAAATTTTTTTGTTTGAAGTTCTTTTTTATAAGCGGAGTAACTGGCTTTTTTTCGACAGTTTGGCGAATATTTTTTTTAAGTATCGCTTATATTTGTTAACCATGAAAGTAAGTGAATATTACCTTTCGAAGTTTGTTAGTTTTCGCCACATCTTTTACTTTTGGAAGTTTAGATGTTTTTTAGATCTCGACCGTGTTAATGAATACGCGAGATTGGTAGAAGTCTTAAGATGTCGTGTCCCTTCAACAGTAGCACTTTCTTTATTGCCTCTTGATTATAAGATTTGGTTGAAAATGATGAATAGTTTAAAAAATGCTAACAAACTTGACTTTAGTATTTTAAATGGTTTACTGAAAAATTATGCAAGGTACGAACGTATAAATAAAATTTTTTGTGAACCAAAAACAATTTTTAAAGATAATAATTTTAAAAAATGCGTGTACGTTTGCTTCACCCTTTTGGGTGAGTTTAAGTATTATAATTTCTTTACGGTTAATTCACTTTCGAGGATTATATTATTGCAATCTTCCGTTCAAAATGGCTTTGAGCAAATTTCAGCTGCTCTTCTTCCGTTAACAACTTGCTATACAACCAGGTTTCTCTGCTCATTAGCTAGTGCGCTTGGTCTTGCTGATAGCGTTGTCTCTTATTTCACTTCTTTGTCTTTAAAGTGCCCTCCTGTTTTATTAAACGATTTTAATAATCTACTTAGGGTTTATTCCACACAGCTTAATGGCCATTTAAAAATACAAGTACTTATTGACAATGCTAAAATTTTAAGTGTGAACCCAAATTGCTGGTCTTATGTATACTTAATCCAATCCATTTTATTCAACCAAGACACTAGCGGTGTGGAAGCTACAATCACAGAGACTGTTGTTGCGAATGTCATTCATAAATTAATGAATAACGCTGAAAGTCATGCCTGGATAGAGTGCGTACCTACCTTGTGCAAATCACTTATTAGATACAATTTGATTAATGTTACTTCTCTCCTTTTAAACGAAATTTACTTGGATCAAGTCTATTGTAATGAGAAGGTTTTAAACATCTTGTGTCTATACTACACTAAAACCTTACAGTGGGATGATCATCAACGCATCTATCAGAAACTAATTAAGAATTATGCATCGATAGAAAAGGAGCCCAAATTATACGAATCCAGGTTTTTGAGGTACTATGATCTAGCTTGTGCCCAGTCCGCTAAAAGATTGTTGTTTTTACTACTGAAAAGTTATATATGCCCAACTTTGTACTCTCTTGGTTTAGCAGCAGCCACCTTTTTTAAGGCAAAGGGTTGGTCTTATTGCGAGAACTTTTTAAGTTCTTTAGAGCAAAGCTTAAAAAAATTTGTTATAACCGAACTAATTAGAGTTTTTTTAACTGATACTCGATATGGTTTAAGTAGGGACGCTTATGAACTCTACTGTACTCTAAAAGATGAAATATTTTCTTGTTTGAAAACTATAGACATATCTCTGTGCGTCTACTTGTTTAAGCTCCTTAGCATATATGGAAAAGAACACGATCTAGAATATATTTGTAGGGAATCTGATCTGATAAACAAGTTAGTCAGCAATCTTTACTTTTTTACTGAGTTTCTACATTTTCTCTCGAAGCAGAAGGCACACTCACTAGTCTTAAAGTACGCCGATGAGCATCTAGCCTTTGGTCTTCAGTCGTCACGTGGTCGCATAGTTCCTACTGACGAGATATACGGGCTACTGCTTTACTCTTCATTGGCCGTTAATAACCTTCAATTCTTTGAGATGATTAAAAGTCGATATTCAGCTGCCTTCCCCAAAGAAAGCTCCTTTACGGCGATGATGTGTCTGAAGGGCTACGCTGCTGCTCAGGATAACGAACTTTTCGATGCTACTCTCTCTAGAATGACAGGCGTTAGCACCCTCCCTCTTGATCGCGAATCCTGTGAAGTAATTCTCTCACTCTACCAGGATGATTTGATAAAGCAGCTGAAGGTTGCTGACTTTCTCGTTACTGTTGCTGGACGAAAGAGTCACACCTATGGCGCGATTATCAGTCATCTCCCGCAGGACGCTAGCACTGATGTGTGGAATTGGCTTTTTGAGACGGTTTTACTTCTAGATCCTGATATCAGCACTATAATTGATTTTTTAAAAACACTAAAACCTCGTTTGCCCATGCGATACACAGGCATAATGGATTGCATATACACTCAACACTCGCGAGGAACTTTTTCCGCCGATGAATATAAACAAATTATTAAAGAGCTAAAGAGGTTAAAATGGTCTAAAGCATGCGCTTTTTTCAATTCCGCCTTTACTAAGAAATATAACTAATAAAACATAAATTCGATATTTAGAGGCTAATAAACTTTTTTTTATTACTTTTTCTGTGCATTTTCTCATAGCACATTTGAAACAGGAGGATTTATTTATAAGATTATATGACCTCGTAAAAATTGTTGAGATAAGGCTAATTTGAGGTCTCCTGATTATCCTTTGACTCCTATATGAGTGTGAAACAAAAATATAACAAGTATAAACGCTTGCAACAAACCACTTTATCATTCCCTTCGGGAGGGTCATAACATATACTGAGCTGTATCTCACCACTTCCTTGGTTAGATATGGGCATCCAGCCTTCGAACATATCGTCGCCGCTAGACCCCTTTGTGCGTTGAAGGGAGTTAAGCAGCTCAGCAATGTGCTGGCAGTGTCATAAAAATTCTCACAAGTTCGGATTCCAGATCAACCACGAACTCGCCAAGTGAATCGTTTCTCCCTAAAAAGTCCCAGTCCATAATGCAAAACTTCAGGGTAAGGCCTTTTAAGCCCTAACGAGAGAAGTGGCTAAGCTAGGCGATTGGGGCTTAAGGGTAGAGGCCTCACGGGGATGGGAAAGGAGATTTTTTCCTTCCATTCGGGGTCCAACGTTTTTTTCTTTACTTCAGTTTTGTAGATGACTTTATTGCTATACAAGTATATAATAGCTTATTAAAAAAGTCGCACAGGAAACCTATTAAACTACTTCATTTTTAAAAGAACAAAAGGATCCGACTTTCCTACTAAATCGGCTGCCCTGAGGTCACGAGCTCTGTCAATGGTTACATTGAGGATACCGCATTTGCGCAAGTCTAGCTCCTTGTGTAGTGCTTTTCGAACCTTTTTTGCAACATTTCCTGGTTGTTTATATTTAAAAGACTTGCAGTTAAAAGGTTTTTACTCATCAACCTTTCACTTTATCGCTAGTTTTCGTCCCAAAGTCGACTGAAACAAAGAAGAAGGAGAGTCCCAAAATTATTTCGGAGTTGTCTTCGCATGCAAAACTTTACAAGATACTGATAATCGACTAGACAACTTTAGTATTACTTTTGTCTTTTTTACCCGTTCTTTTTAATAAACTCGCGCTTGACAATCGTGCGAAGGTCAATAAAGAACCGACCAATTTTGTGAACAGTATGGCTACGGGGGTTTTGAGACAAAATTTCAAAGAAGACAGTGCCTGTGCGGTAATCCATGATAAGCGCCTTGAAGCGTGATTACGTCGATGAGCCGCAAGATTATATTGAAAAACAACTAGATTAAGAGACCTCACAAATTTCGTTCCAAAAAGATTGCAACTTGGGATCGTTAAGCACAATCGACTTCGTTTTAAAAATCTGTGCGGCTGGTCGTGTGAAACAGGCTTGAACCGCGATAAGCTAGGCTGTGTACCACTCGATTATCCACGGACACACGCACAAAGATCCGCGGGGTCACACCCCACCACGAGGCCGTATCAACTCCGTCAACTGCATGGATGCCGATGCGCAGGAGGCCCGACCGCGTTTTCTGCTTGGAGCCTTCTCCTTTTGTTTCGCATCGTGTTATAGAAGGCGACTGGAGATCGTCGTCGTCGTCTATCGCAGAGAAAACCCGATTTTTTTTAATAGGTAGCAGCGCTTCGAGAAAGCAGCAAAACTGGGCGACCGTCAAAAAAAAGACTCGGGCAGAAACTCGGGGTCTTGTACACCTCCAAGTCGCAGTGGAGGCGCCCCGAGCTCCCCACAGGAACCACAATCTCTTCACAGAGGTACGACTTTTTCGTGGTGCCGGGCTTCTCGCTCTCTTCTTTCTCAGCTGCGTCGTCCTCTTGGCTGTGTTCGTGCACTGATTCAGTCTCGCCATCCTCCGCTAAGAGACGTTGTCCGGTACGAGTACGCAAGAATTTTTTAAAAAGTACTTATGCTGCTAAACATGGACAAGTCCTGCGACCATTTACTTAAAAGTTGGTCCTGCGTCTATAATTTTAACTAGTTAATTTAACTAAGTCGACTTTTTTATGTCTTCCTATTGGTAACTAACAATATTGTAGTCGTAAACAGTAAATTCTAGTTTTTCTGTTTTTGGATCTTTTAGCAAAAGATAAAATGTTTGGTTCCAAACAGGATGAAGAGTTTTTTCAAGCACTCGCGTCTTGTACTTTTGTCCTTGAAATTTGAGCTTTATATAAGGGTCACTGATCAAAGACAGTTAACGATCTATAAGATTGTTACGGTAAAAAAAAAATAATTTATAAAGTTACCAAGCTCCAAACAAGTCCACTTTGGGAAAGCCTTCGCCTTTTTTAATCTTACAAATTAAAACGCCTTGACACAACTTGAAATACATATTCTATTATTATTTAATTTTCTTGAAAACCACTAAAAAAGGGACCCCAGCGCTCTTGCTTATATTCATCAGTTCGTCGACGTTAACTCTATAGAGATGAGGATCGAGAAGCATTTCCTCAATTACCTTTTTTTCTAAAGTAACCAAAAAATCAAACTTAAAAAAAAAAAAGGGGGGGGGGGACCCCGTTAGCTAAAGTCGCAATAGCCGAGTGTAAAAACGGCACTTCCTGCAAGTTTATGTAATTAACTCATTTATGAAGTTTTTTTGTTTATAGATGCTTGTTAAATACCAGTATGTCAAGCAAATGACACGGGATGACAGAGAAATCAAAGTAGGGCAAGCTAAGAAAGGCAAATCCTACGCTATTTAAGAAAGGATAACTACTCTATTTTTTATTTGATAATAAGTTAAGACCAGTAGTATGCAAAGATTCAAGCTAAACCTGAAAAACAACTTCTAGCCTAACATAGCCTTCGAAAACCAAATTTCGTATTTCTAAAGGGAATCGAAGAGGACCTATATGGGCTTCTACTACAATTTTAGTGCTTGGATTATTAAAAATAACGCTAACAAAAGTAAAAATTAGATTCTTTTAAAATAAGAAACTTGTCTAAGACACTTAATATCTAAGAGAGCACGGTTGTCCCCACTGTCTTTATAACCCTTCATAAATAATAATAAAGGACTGCTTTCGCCTAAATCAAAAGTTGGAAACTTAATCGCTGTTATAAACCCAGGTTTGTACAGTGCCTACAGTTAAGAATAAACATCAATGAGGAAACCAATCTGTTGAAATCTTATTTGCTTACAATTGTTTGTTGTAAACTTTCCACAACTTGAGTAGCAATAACTTTTCGATAAGTATACCATCCCCTTCTTATTATGTTATTTATCCATTCAACTCTTTCATTGTCTTTCTCCAGAGGATTCATCTCATGTCTTTCTTCAATTTCTTTTCTGATATCTGTAAGCAAGAATAAAAACCACAAGGGGAGTTACAGTCTTTTTATGTTACCTTTACTAACTTGCGGGTATTTCAGCGTAATGAGTGCGATCATAGCTCCGCAACAAGCTGCTACATACGACCAATGCAACTCGAATATCCCTATAAAATAAGAACTACATACTAAGATAGATGCTCCACCTAAAATTTTTATTTCTGAATCAAACATTTTTAATAACTTACACTTAAAATTACAATTTAAACAACACTTTCTTCTTATGAAATATAATGGCTATAACTAATATTGCACTAGACGACAATGTTAAGGCGGTTCGCCGATGCGCTCGGCGCCAACAATCACATATGGAAATAAGTTTTACTTTAATAGGTGAGATTGTTGTTAAAAAATTTAAATTATTTTAAAATAAATAGACAGTTTATCTGTATCTTGTGTCTAACCCCTGCACTCTTTATCAGATAATTATTTTGATTTCATTACAAAGAGATAAGAAATTGACATGTAATGAGTAAGTCTATCGTTTTTGCGAACAAATATATACTAGTTAAATGCCGGACATCTAAGTACAGATTAAGGCGATAAACTAATAACGAAAAAATTGACTTGAGGTATAGAGGGACACTGATACAATAAATCAGCTAGAAGAAATTAATATTTTGAGGCAACAAAACACGGCCTGTAACGTAGATGTGGAGTTTGTTAATAATTTTAAAGACATATTGCGCTGATAATTTTTTTTGTGAATGCAATCAACTATCTCGGTATATCTGTAAGATGCACTTTTAGGTTTAGATATTAGAGCCTAATAAACTCTCTTTTGTATTTTTTTAGGCACGTTGTTTTAAAATCGGGCCTAATTAGTTACGAGGGTAGCTAATGTTTTCTAGTAATTTAGTACAATCCGTCACTGGAGAACTGCAAAGCAGTTTAATAGGAAATGGTTAGGATTTTTAAACCTTTACTTGCTGGTATTTGAACCTTAAGGCTTTTTATAATAACTGAGTATAGTTATATATTTAAAGCACACGTACAAGGACGTAACTGGAAATAGCGCAGACAAAGAAACCGCAACAAACACAACATTTTATTGAAAATGGACGTTTTTTCTGTATTTAAAATAAGGAGATAAACCACTTTTTTCATAAACAAAAGAATATTGCCCATAAATAGCAGCGTTAAAAATTTTGGACTGGGATCTATCTTTTATCAGAATTTTTTTTAGTTTAGGTATGCTTTGGTGGTTTGTTTTAATAAAGCATTGTAGTCACCCTATTAGTTCCAAGCTTTATAAAATTTTAAACTTCCAAAAATTTTAATTCATTGTTAGCTCTTAGTCCTATTACTATCCTCACGTTTCTTTCTCTAAAATTGCTGCAAAAGCGTTTACCACGACCTCAGCTAACATTACAAAGTGCGTGGATGCTCCTTTAAGAAAATATGACGGGGTTCGTGTTTTTAAATAGAGGTTGGCATCTCTCTACATTTTTCACTCTCCTTCTCCTTTAAACCTATAAATGTTATTAATTAAGGTCTTTAAAGAGTTAAAAGCTTAAGATAACATAAGCTAGAGCAGAATCAAAATTTATTGATATTATGAAAATGTCCAAAAGATCTATCTATATCCCTGCTTTAGTCAAATCAACTAACCTTTCAGCTCACCGACCTCAACTTATAGATGAGAGCCTCTAAAAAGAAAAGGTAAGGGCACTAAGCAAGACAGCGGTTCATAAATTTATTAGTAGATATTATAGATTTATAGTATAAATATAAAAAAAGTTCGAAAACATTTTTGCATATCAGTTATCTTCAAAATTTCTGGTCAAAGCGTCTTTTATATAATTATGAGCTACATGGCCCACTAGTGGTTTCCTTTACGTGCTGACCAAATGGATCCTCTCGACGGAAACTTCGTCTTCATACATTTCTTTATTAACCCAAACTTTTATTTTTTTCTTTACATGTGCGTATAAAGAAAAAAGGTAATTTTAAGCCTAAAGTTTAAGATTTTTTTATACTTTATTGTTGGGCTACTCCGGTCTCTCATCAATCATATTTGATGTTTTTCGTAGAACTTGTCTTTTATTAGGTTGCGAAAGATAGACAAATGATACCATTTATTTTAAGAAAACTTGTATTTTTATGAATTGAGTGTTCCATATAGGATTGCCTTTGACGATCAAGTTTTATATTGAATTGAATGGTACACAGTGGAGTCACTCCTAAGAACTATAATTCGATTAGAATCTCCTGGGGGCTTTGCTTTTTAAAAAATAACTTTTTCCATGTGCGCATATCTAAGTACGAAAATTAGGTTATGAAGCTTTCTTCGCAAAGAGAACACGGAATTATAGAACCACCTCTTACGGCTTTCCTTTTTCTTAAAACCTTAAATATTATATTTGACAAGTTTAGCGAGACTTTGTGAGAAAGGTTTAATATTATGTTCCATCTTAAGTTAAATATTTCGCCCTACATCAAATTGGAAACCTTGCTGCACAAAACCTTTTCTCGCCCCACCGTTTTTATCTCTTCCCCTAATTATTAGGTCTAATCTTGTTTTAAAAGTAGACTTCATAAATTAATTTTTTTTTAAATCTTGTATGTCCATGAATATCCCCTTATATTAGGGATTCACTTAGAAGTTAATGCTTTAAAAAGATTAATGAATTGGCTTGAGTTATTACTTAAGAGGTAAGAAAACAAATATAAAATAAATAAACCTGTAGGGATAAAAGGTTACTATCCATTAGCAGAGCCCTGCATCCATACTGTTAACGGTTAATAATGCATTTTACTTATTAGTTATGGCCCACTAACGCTTTTGAAGTTTATCTCCATTGCTATCTTATTAAGTCGGGATGCCAGTCAAAGACCCGCCCAGGGGTTTAGCGTAAGTTAACAAACTGAACTACCTTCGGATCACAATTGGTTATTGTGGGTGCTATAGTTAAAACGTTCATCTAAGCGCCACGAGAATTTGGTAATGAGCCGGAAAAAATCTTTCTTTTAACCCAGCTACTCCCCTTCTTAAATTTTATATTGGTAGAACTCACTGGCACAGACTGTTTATTAATAATGAGTACGTAAAATATAAAATTTTAAAGGAAATGGCTAAACCAAACATAGGTGTAACTATAATTATCAAATTACTCATTAAACAGTTAAGTGCTCATACTTGCGTACTTAAAACAGGGAAAACTAATTATTATTATCACCCTGTTTGCAAAAGAGGCCCTGTATAACTCTACAATCACTTTCCCCTTTTTAGGCCCAAATACTTTTCATATTTCTATATAGCTTCTTAATACTTAAGTATTTGAATAAATATAGACTTAAAGTACTCATTAGCTAAATAACTTAACTGTTTTACTCTAGGATTGTTTTTATTGGGCAAAAGTAGTTATACCCACTCTTTTTCTAGCTCTTTATTTATAGCTTATAAGCTTATTGATATGGCCCGCGTGTAATTATCTCTACCTATGGTTATCCATAATTTTGGCAAGCAACGCACTTTCAGTTTACTAGTAAACTTAGTTATGATCAGCGTTTTTGTATTAAAGAGTTAATATACCTAAATACTTCTAGTAAAAATTTTATTTTCTAAATATAATTTTTTTTTACCTTAAAAGAAGCGAGGTAATTGAAGAACAAAGAAAATAGGGGTTAAGGAATAAAACCTTTCGCGAGGTAAGTGTTTCTTTAGTTGTAATATAGACAGGATAATGGTTAAAGTTAATCTTTCAAGAATCCTTTAAACATAAAACTAAAGAAATATAAACAAATTATAAAATTTATGTTAAAATATGTGAAAATAAATATAATATAAGATTTAAAATCAAATGAAACAAAAAACGAAAAAGAGATATCAGGATTAAAAAGTGTATGTGTAACCAATTATAGTAAAAGTAGTAAAAGTGAAATTTTAGAAACTTAGTCAGAGAGCATTGAGGGCTTGTTTAATATCTCTTCACTTATACTAAGTACTCCGTTGAGACACAAAGGAGCTTGAGTTTAAATACTATAAATTTTGACATAAAAGATGTTTTAATATACGTTTACACAAAAGATTATGTATCCTAGTAAAAGATTGATAGAGGTAACTTCGAAGGTAATCAGTTGTGGAATTAAATTTGGAGTAAAGTGGGATTCTTATTACAGAACAACTTTACATATGATAGTTACATTTGCAAGATTATTCATAATATTATACTAGTATGTTATAGGTAAACTTTTTTACTTATAAAAAGGTTGTAAAAAGCAAGGTCTTCTTAACTAATAGGTAATATTAACAGGTGATTAAAAGTGCAGCGAACTTGCTTTAGGTAATATATAAAGACAATAAAAACAGTATTTATAAGGTTAAAATCATATATTTAAGGTTTAAATACGATAGCTTTTTGAAAACCTAGTTTGTACGCTACTTTAAACTTACAAAATTTCTAATTAAGTGATTCTTTTTAATAAATTAAAATTATTTTAATATTCGATGTAATGGCCTTTAATATATTTGTACAAAGCTTAGCGTTACTACATTCTCCCGTTATGGACTATAGGGTTTAAATTTATAGGGTTACTAAAATTGGTAATGAATGCTTTACAGTATCAGTAAGTACTCATATTGCTAGTCAAACTAATTTTAAATCAAGAAAATGGACCTTTTCTTAAATAAAGTTTATATATTATGTTACAATACCATTGGTTTGTTTGTAGAAGCTTATTTGTGTGGTATAGGCTTTAAAAGCTACTGAAAACGATAAAGAACTGAAGCGTTTTGTTTCTGAAACTAGGAAAAGTAAAGATTTAAATTACTTATATGATAACCACGAACGGATACTTAACGTTTTAAGACCGGATGAATGTTCCGCCGGTTGGATTTTTACGCTGTATTTTGTTCTTTTCTAAAAATTTAAAATTCTGGTAAAAATTTTATTTATTTAGTGAAAGATGTTGCTCATCGCCTCCTTCCGCTTTTATTGATTACGTTTCAACCCTTCTCCAATGTTTTGACTCAAATCAGGCTCAACATGTTTCCCGAGAGTGTAAAATTGTTTTATTTATAAAGTTTTATTTCGAACTTATAAGATTCTTAGTTTCTAAAGTTTGCCAAGTTTACTGTAATCTTTTAATTTCAAGCTCTAAGGTTCTCCATATAATAAATTTTACATTAGAGTTATGTTATTTTTAAACAGGGTAGGCTTGGCATTTTACCTCTGTTGACTGCGGTGAGAAGATTTCAGTTAACTCCTCACCACTTAACCTCTTTGCATTTTCTGTTTCTTAAAGTATTACTTAATAACTTCTTTTTAGCTTTTAAGCTAAAAAAAACACAGTTGTGCATCTCATCAAAGTCGTATTCCAATGCTCTAGAATTACTTGATAGTTATGTTTATGATATCTCTGTTGAGGTATAGAATTTTGTTATTATTTAACCTGATGCCATATTAATAAGTTTTTTCAGAAAAACTACATCGCCCTTGAAGAAATTCTTCATTTTTTTTATTATAGCAGTATTATATATTCTAAACTATTTATGTATAAGAAGGCTTTATATTCTATTACTTTGGTACTTTTTTAATCATAATTATTTCTTTATTATTACTTAATAAAAAAATCGTATAGTTTTTTTCTCTTCCTTATAATCACTCTTTCTGCCACTTGGAATCTGCATATAAAAATCTTGTTTTGCTGAAAACTATTGAATTACAATCAGTAAATCAAATTACGCTGTTTCTTATAATTTTTTTTTTTGAAAAAATTTATGTATTATAAATATAATAGTCTTTTGATCAAAATATTTCCTTTCCAGTTGAATTCGAGAGTAATTTTCAAATTTACATTCAATTTCAGGAGGTCGATTTCTTTGATTGCTTTCTTTAAAAATTTTTATATATTAACTATATTTTTTTAATTACTGTTAATTTAAAGTTTTACAAGACCTAAGTTAAAACTGCTTAGCTAAATATTTTCACTCATAGTTTACAATTATTAAAAGGGCTTGTATTTTCATAAACAAATATGTAATGTAGATTTCCTATTATTTACTTTTGTGCCTGATCATTAGTTATTATTAATTTTACTGTATATTATAATTTTAAACACATTCTTATTTCCTTGTTTGCATTACTCATTTCTTCATTTTGTTGCAAACTTTCTATGAATTTTTTTAAAAGAAAACAGCCTCAACTTTAAAGAACTTTTATTTGAATTAGAAATACAGTTAAAGTTTTAATTTCTTTAAAGTTGTTTTATATTATTTTTTTATGGTGATTCGAATTTTTTTATGCACCTTAACTTTTAAAAAACTTTAAAATTTAAAGAGTGAGTTAGCATAAACGAAATCAATTCTAAAATTTCTTTATTAATTACTTAACATAACATTAATCGTGCCTTTCATTTTTTTTATTTTTGCAATCGGCAAATTTTATAAAACCATTATTCTTCTAGATTTGGAAAACAGAAAAAGTCAGAGATTTGAAGAATTTTTTAAGTTCCCACGAAAATCACTTCAGGAAAGTAAGTTTACTTTGCTCTACATAAGGATTGCTGCTTATAATCGGTGTTACCTTTTTATTTAACTTTCTAATAATTAAATAAAAAATAATTTGTAGGACAATTTATATAGTTTGGCGGAGCAAGGGATAATTTCTTTACGGAAAAATAAGTTTTTTCAGTTGATAAAAATTTATAGAACTATTTCTTTTGGTGATGTAATGGAAAAGCTGGAATTTTCTTCTCTTAAAGAACTTATGCCCTTTTTATTGAAAATGGTACTGCTAATTTTACTTAAAAATTGAACAATGGTTAAACAAATCATAATTGTCAATATTTCAAAAGCTATGTTTATGTGGTTGACTAGAGCTTTGATAAAAGGTATTTATAGTATATCAGGGCAAGAGCGGTTAAGTTAAAAGTGAGTTAGACAAAAAATTCAGAGGTATTGTTTTATATACCAACTTTTGGCGGATTGGCATAAAAAACAGTGAAGGCGCGAAGAACGTGAGAACTCATCTTTTTTGCTTCTTAGCTTTTTTATGAGTAGCTATTGTTTCATTACTTGTAGGTCACTTTTTTTTTTATTTATATAAATCGGTTTAAACAATCCTTATAATTACTCGGATTCTTTATTCTCATAAAGTTCTTATGAAATTAGCGCTTCAGAGAAAATCTCGATTTTCAAATTGATGAAAAAAAAGAACTTCTTATAATAACTAAAAATTCAGTCTTTATAAGCAAAAGCAACTTGAGAGATTGTGTAATAATTTATTTATTGCTTAACAGTTTATAAATCCTATTATAATATTTTAGTTCTGTTACAATTATATTCTTTTTGCATCACATTAATAATAATTTATTTTAGTCCGATTCTCTTTCTTTCTTTAATAAGGAATTACAAAAATTTGCTGAAGAGCATTCGTGCAACTCGTAAGTTCCCACTAACTTTTTAAAGTATTAATAAATATGATTTTAGAAGTCGGTCCTTTTGTTTAATTAATTAACATTAATATGTACCTTGTAGCGAGAATTCACAATAGAAGTCATCTTAAAATAAAATAAATTATAGATTTTTTTTAAATAAAATACCCGTTATAGCGTTTTCATAATATATTGTAAACAGCTATAGTAATAATTGTTTAAAAATATTGCTGGGAAGGTTGCAAAAGTAAATCAGTATGGCTTAATTTTTCAAAATGCAAAAATAGGTATAATAGTTTTTATTATTTGTTTTGTTTTAATAGTTCTTGTGTTCATATACTTTAGAATTGCTAGTAATTTGCTGCTACCATTACTTTTATACATAACACTTCTATGAATCAGATTCTTATTAAACGCAGGAAAGTAAGGTGTGATAAAGCTATAACAAAGCTAAGAGAAGTTTCAATTTTTAAAAAAAAATTAAGTCAAAATAGGCACTAAATACATGATAGTAAAAATATAAAAGGCAAGTCAATTAATATTTGAAGCTTTACCGATAAAAAGAGACCTGAAACTTTTGGATAACAAACTTAGTAAACTAAATTTTAAATCGACCCTGCCTAGAGGATATAAAGAAAAGTTACTCCTAGCCTTTACTTAAAAAAAATTATGTTTTGTAAATTGTATGGAAATTGTAAACATTTATGAAGTTATCTAAGTAGAAGCCAAACACTACAAACACTACAAATTAAAAAATATTATGATTCGATTGAAAGTATCAACTCGTAATATATGCGATATGAACATAAGTGAAATATTACAAAAAATTATACCGAAATTTAGCTAACCAAGAACTTTTATTATTAAAATTTTTTAAAACTTTTATAAGACATGTCTTATACAGAAGTTTAACTGATTTTAAAAAGTTGCTATTCATTCTATAACAATATTGCATTATAACAAGTTTAACAGTAGAAGAAGGAAAAAGAAAAAAACACTATTCCTTAATAAAATTTAAAGCCCAGACACTTCTGGAGCAGTATTATCGCCTTCTTCGTTTGTTTCTTTAGAAGAGTTCTGGCTACTTTGACTAGAAATATCAACTTCTTCTTCTCCTTCATCGTCCTTTAACTATAGACAAAAAATTATAAATATAATATAACAAATGAAAGCTTTAAAAAATACATATTGAAGGTAGTGTTCTGCATTTTCAGTCATGCAATCGTGCATGGCCCTAAAATATGTCACGCATTCATAACCTTTTGGTTTTTTCTCCTCTTCTTTGCTATTAACAAAACAAGAAAATGCCTCTTTAAATTCGTTACCACAAGGGCCTATTAAAAAGCATTATTAATTTTAGAAATGGAAAAATTCAAACATAGCTAGTTTTAATCTTTGAATACCGTGAGCCATTCCTTGTAGACAAGGGCAGTCCCAATCTATTTCGCCATTTTCTTTAACAGCACTTTCTGGATTTAAGCTCTCTTGTGAATCAATATTAACGTGGTTTTCTACATCAACAGAGTCAAGCGGAACAGAGGAGTCTTTCTTTTTAGTTTTACTGACTTTTTCTTTCATCTCCTGAGTTCTATGAAGTTCGCTGTGTACTTCTGGAGTTTGAGTTTTGTTAAAATCATTTTCTTTTTCAGTAACTTTTTTATGATGGCTATTTACGCTCATCGCTCAATGTACTCATTTAAACTATTCACACTTCAACGATCTGAATCATAGGACATTGTCTTTGATGCGTGTCCCGCAACAAGGAGGGGCATGCGTGAATTTTCAATTAACACTATCAAAACAATTCGGGTGACGGACGTTGTGAACCAAACATTTTGTTTAACATTGCACTAAACTTTTATTCTAACAAAAACGAGTCAGCTTTATTAAACTTAAGAAAAGTCGTCATTTGTTTCCTTTTTTCATAGTGTAGTCAGTTTTCTCACAATGACTAATTTTCATTTATATTTTTTTGGTTTTGTCGTCTTGTTAGTGATAAAAGTGGCTTCTGAAAGGGTTTTTTCTAACTTCAACTTAGCGTTTACAACTTTTAGAGAATATAATTAATAGTTAATTATAGTACTCCATTTGTTTTATAGTGAAAATAAACTATTAGCAATAGGTTAGTACGGGCAACTATCTTGCGCTATACTTTAATATTTGATAATAACTAAGGTAAATACTTTTAAATTGAAGGAACTTTCTACCATGTTGTAAGCTGACTACAAATTGAACCTTCTTATAACCTCTTAAGATCCGAACTTAGAAAATAGTAATTACATAATTTATTTATTAATCGTAAAAATATATATTTGTCTAAACCCGTCGTGATTATTTGAAGTTCTTTAATTATCTATAAACATAGAGTCCATTTAAAAGGAACAGTAGGTCTCTGGAGGATAGAAGTCCTTATAAGTTAGATAACATTGTAATAAGCTATTACTAAGTCACTCAATTTTAAAAAGTCGTTTGGAATACCTTTCCCTTATTAATTGTTATTTTTAATAGTATTTAGCCCTTCTTAACGCTTAATTTTTTAAAATGAATTTTTCTGTTCGACATACATAAACGGGAAAATAATGCGGAAAATTAATTATTAAACTTAAATTCCAATTTTATAGTAAAATTTTGCGGATATTTTTAAATATTTTCTATACTATTTAAATTTTATTTTATAGTTTCATTTAAGTCTGCACTAAGCCGTTAAAGCACGCTCGAAACAATGAAGTCCTTTAAGAACTCAGCTTTAACCTACCTACACCTAAAAAGTTAAAAATATTAAACGGTAAACTTGACATAGTAACAATTCAGTAAACAAATAAGAAAAATAGTTAATTATTATAACAAGACAACCATAAATACTTTTTTATAATCTGCAAAGTACGCGAGTAAAAGGGCGCCTAACCAATAAAGGGCCTATTTTTAAAACTGGAGCATTACATTTTATATTTCGTTTGAATAGTTTTCTGGTAGTGGAGTAGGTAGTAGTACATGCAACAAGTGCTTTACGAGTAAAGGAAATTAGTACTACATGTACTTTTCTAAATGAGAGTTAAGAAAGAAATTTTAATATTAAATATGTTATTTATAATAATAAGAAATCTGTTTATTTTAACCCGATAATAATAAACTTTTCGATAAATCATAAAAAATTGCTGAACTGTTTTAATTCAACATAACATATGTCAAAGTAACTCCTTGCCAATTAATAATTTCAAAAAAAAATAAGGCTGTCACCAAGGTATTGCATAACAATTAATGTAACTTGGTGAGAACTATATTATGATTTTAAACTGAAAGCTATATATAATTAGTCAATCAGAAAATAAAATTTATCTTACTTTCAATAAGTTAATGCTTATGATATATATTTCGACATTATCAATAATAACTATCCAATATTGTTTTGTGAAACAACCTTTACCTCTCTCTAAGCATTGCTCCTTCTAACGTAATTTTTATAAGAACATATTTAAACAAAATTAAGGAATAGGGCTTTAATGATAAATAAAATTTACAAGTTTTACCTACTAAAAATATTCAAATATCTGTGTTGATGAATTCCTTGCGTTGTTTATAACAAGTCTTTCGTCGGGGCAAGTAAGTTTGAGTAGTACAAAGGAACTCCTTATTCTTCTTAATTAGCTTGCTAAAATTTTTATAATGTGAAATAGTGTACTAAATGTATATGTATACATTTTAGCAATAAACAAAGATAGCTGTTGCTACTTTTCGGACAGAGTGGTTAAGATAGTTTTATTTTATAATCTGCTTATCCTTGTCTCTGCTATTTCCTTTACCCTTTAGTTCAAAAAATTAAGTAGAGGTTGTGATATATTAGAATTTGTTTAACAGTTGCAACACTCAATCCCGTTATGATGTTTACTGTATTTAGATTGCCACAATATGCTAAAAAGGAACAATCTTTTAGCAAGACAGTAAGATGCTTACTAAACAAAATTTTTTCCTCTCAGCATATTTAATCCAAAATTTTATTATACAATTATTACACGTAAACCTAAAAAAAAATTTAAGGCATAAACCTTTGTGTAATGTTAAATGGTTACCCTTACAGTTCCAGAGTAATGTAAAATGATATAGTGGTTAATTATTTTTAACCAGAGTTGGGTTTACGTCTTACAAAGAAATTAAATTTTCTTAAGGCAAGTAAATTTTAGAGTGCATTTTTAGGGTTTTTATATCTTTTTGCATGTACATACGTCATTGTAAATATGAGTTTGAACTGTTCACAACAATTGAAAGCTGTTTACTTATAAATTTTTATAAACCCAATTAAAATGTTAATATATTAGCATTAAATACATCCTTCTTATAAGCTAAAAAAAAGCGCATTGACGTTGTTTCACACTTAATAAGTACTTAAGAAAAGGAAATTACTTAGTAATCTCTTAAATATTTACAACACTATCTCACTGTTGACCAGGTATCTTACGCATCAACGACACTACATTTTTACCAGTTGAATTTAAGCACAGTCGAAAAATAGGTCTAAAGTAAACTAAAACGTTTGTAAATTACTAGAATAATATTTTTTTTAAAAAAAATATATTTAAAAATATTCTATACAAGGACTAGATAAATTAAATATGGGAGTTGAGGTTAAATTCTTCTCGCAAAAGTTATCATGTACTTGGGTTTTTTTTTTATCTGAATTTCTAAATGTCTTAACCCTTTAGTATAATAAACAAAGAATCCCTTTATTCAAATTAGTACATAACACTGTAATGAGTATTTACCTTTTTCCACTCTTCTCAATAAGCAACTTCGGGTAGCTACTGCTCTCATTAACAATTGGCTTCCATCAAAATCACTCTACATTCGAGGTATACACTCGTATACAGTAAAAACTCTTTTAGGCCCTTGCATGATTTTAAATAACTAAATTATCTGCTAACAGGTTTATAAATAAAAATTTGTATGGACAGATAAGGAACCTCCAAATTGACCGCATCTTCTTAACCCTCGCGGTTTGGTTTTTGTCTACTTTTTTTAATGTCTTTAAACGCCAACTTGGTAAAATGCCTGCGTCGCACAAATGACGAGAAGGAGGAGAACTGAGAGCGGTAGTTGTTCGTTATGTTAGTTCTGCACAAATGTTAATTTCGTGAATTTGAGGCGGCTCAGTTGTTGTTTACCTTATTATAGTACAAAAGTTTTTAATGTTCACAAAAATAGTTGTGACTACTTTTTTTTTTTATTTCAAATTCTTATTACTTTTAACTTTTTCTTTATGCATACAAATATCTATTAAACACCTTAAGCATTAACCAGAACACTTCGCAGCCTTTTTAAAATTCTGCAACAGTAATTTATTTTAACCAAAAAATTTAAAACAATTCAATTAATCCTCTTTGTTTAATACTAAAAATATTTAAGCGAAGACCATGAAAACTTTTTTGGAGAACCTGTGGATTGCAATTACGCTCCTGGTTACCAGGAAGTTATAAAGGAGCCTATGGATTTCAGGTGAGAATTATACAGTGTTTTCGTCTAATACGCTTTCTAACCCTTTTTTTTTTATAAAAAACTTCATGGTCTTCTAGTACAATTTATAAAAAAATAGAGTCCAACCTATACCTAGATTTAGACTCTTTTAGAAGTGACTTGCTACTTATGTGTAAGAATGCAATGACATACAACACAGCTAGAAGTCATTGTTATAAAGCAGCAAAAAGACTAGAGTCTAAGTGTAAGCAGTTGTTAGGAGAGCAGGGGCTCGCCTTAACCTTGACCAAGCAAGGCGACCTACCCGTCGCACAAAGCACCGCCAGCTTACTAGTAGACACGGGTATTGTTCGTGAGAGAGATAGTCTTAGAGAAAGGCGGACTAGAAACAGACAGAAAAAAAGTAAAATGGAAGAAAATAAGATTCAAAGTCATAAAGATGCTGATGAGACAACTCCAAATGGTGACGAAACGGATGAATTAAGTCAGCCAGGCCCAGGAAGTAAACCCATCACACGCTCCAGCAGCGCAGGTGGGTGTATTTTAAAATAGGTTTTTTTTAGTAAAAGGCTTATATAAATATCAGTTTCACTCAAGCGGCATTTAAAGACTTCGGAAATTTTTATCAAAGATCAACCTGCCAACATTGAGGTTGAAAATGAGCTCTACTTAAAGTATACTGACGAAAGACGATTTAACTTTGTTCACAGTGAGTTACTTTTATAAATCGAATTCACCGCAGCTTATCATGTATTTTTCCTATAAAAACATAACTGAGGACCCCGAAGGAAGTGCGAGATGAGCCTAGGAGAGGAATTTGCACTCCAATTCAACCCTTGTGCTGATCTCGATCTGTCCACAGCGCTTCCAATTTTCGATGGAGATGAATACGCGGTTCCTCCCGAGGTAGTACCGACTTTACCGGAACACAACGCAAATGCCCCATTGATCGACTGCCACAACTCTCGGCTTTCGCTGGAAACTTTGGATTTTCTTCTTCGGTAATAAGCACGGTCACATTTTTTTACACACAGCTACTTATAAACATTCGATAGAGGGACATCAACGCACAGAGATTTCGATGGTGTTTCCCAGGACAAGTATAATTTCAGTATTATTTATTACTAAGGCACTGTTTAATTAAACTCTTGACTACAGTAATCCTGATCAGCCGGGCAGCGCACTTGCCCAGGAGCTACTCGGTTTTTTTTCCTTACCTTATATTAAATATATATAAAACGAATATTTTTATTAAACATAGATACCAATGCAGAATATTTTTCGCAACTGCTGAGTTTGCAGAGAAAACGCTATACATCTCCTGACCCGCTGGAAATTTTACGCCAGGAGCAAGTTATTGGTCTGTTTGCTAACGTTGTGAATTGCTATAGAACTCGACCCATCCGTTTCGCTGTACAGCTAAGAAAATCCTGAGGAACCTGGTGTATCTCGTGGGGATGACCACTCCGAGCGTAGTGGCTCCCTCCGGCAGTCTAGTTCAGGAGTACACCACCAACGAAAAATATGCAAATCAGCTGAAACCGTCAGAACCAATAGCACAAACGGATTAAAACTATGTCACGTGACCTCATTGCCACGTGTTGTGCTTCATGTTTTATTATATGCTCAAGGTCGGAGGACAAAAATTCAGCACGGTAGCATATTCAGTGGCTGCTACCTTACTCTGCTGCGTAAGGTTTTATATAAGGGACAGAACGGGTCGAAGGAGAGCAACCTTGATACCTGAGTTCCGGTTTTCTGGCGGCCAACCAGTAGACCATGAAGTGAAACCCCGAAGACAGGAACGAACCCGGATTGAAACAGCTCACCCCCTCATACTCCACCGTGAAGTGCGCGTATTGGTCTCCGAGAATCAGCTGTGCAAGCACTTGAGTCTGCGGCGGCGCATTGCGGGAAAAAGTACTCTTTACGGTATCGGGAAGGGGATACAAACGTAGCGCGTGGTCGAACCACCAGTAAATCGGGCTTGCGTGCAGAGGAAGCGGCGAGAGATGCGACTGTTCCATAAGAGTCTTGACCATCTGACGGCCAGAGGGTGATGCGGTTATAAAGAGGAACTGGTAGGGAGGAAGCTAACGTGGAAGTGGAGCGGCCCCTCGTCGGCGGACGGGGTAAGAACGCTATTTCGTTTGAGCTTCGCGATGAGGTCTTCCCGGAACACAACAATTTCTTGGGTGCCATATCTCACGCTTCAAAGCCATTGGCGTATTGGCGAGAAAAAGAGGTGCAGTAACAAATTACCGGCAGGGATTGGTGGCGAAGACCGCGTTATGCTTAAGTAGGTCCTTCAGAGGCTTGGTCAGTACGTCCGGTAAGGGCGGCCGTGGAAGGACGTGGCCTGGGCCGGGATCCTGAGGCCCAGGCACAAAGATAAACTTGCTGCGCATCACTAGCTGCTTATACTGTGCAAGCACTCCAGCCAGCTTTTTGAAGAGGTCTGTAACTGCGGATGGCTCTGAATAGTAGAGAAAAGAGCAGAGCGGGTAAACCTCGCAGCTCAAAAAAGGAGTGCGCGCTCTGGGGTCCACGAGAAAAATTTCCCATAAAGATAAAAGCTTCAGGGAGCAAAGGTTCGTAGCCCCGAAGCAGCTCGTTTAGTTTCTCCAGTACCTTTAACATGCGGATTCGTTAAGCCTTTTCGTTACATATTCAAAGTGATGGTGCCTCAGGTTTATCCAGCCACACATCCGACAGACACACTATCATAGCCGTCTCATTGTCAGCTTCTTTTTTACCCAACTCATCCTACCCAGTGGATTTACTTTATAAAGCTCGACCTTTAGCAGAGAGTTACCATGACGAAATAGTCGTGCACAAAAGTTCCGCCAAAGAAATTCGCGCTTTTCAGAACGTCTCTAGAGAAAGATGCGGGAAATACGTATATGAAGCCAGCAATACAAGAGGGAGGGAGCAGAGTCAGAGGCACCTGCTCAATTCTTTACTCTCCGTGGGAGGCGAGCCGAGGACCTGAACCCGGAGGAGCCCTTCCGCGTAAAGCCCCTGCACAAGCGCCATCGAGTTTTCTACAAACAATCCAGCAGTAACTTTCTACATTATGAAGAAAATAAAAAATATAAAAGGAGAACAGGCAATAATTAACTTACGGCTTCAGTAAAGTCTAACAACACGTGACCAGTGAGATCTTCCAAATAAAACTTCCCCTCTTCAAGCTGAGAAAGCATTCCAAAGAGCACTACCAGATTCTGATCTTCCGCACCAGACGCGCACATAATGCTTGATAGCGAATCGACTGTTAAAAGCTAAACAAAGAAAAAGTAGCTTTTAATACTCTGAAAAAAAATAATTTTTTATTTAAATTTTTACAAAGTATATACTTTGTGATAAGAACGGCGCGTAGATGCCCAAAGAGGAGGAGGCGCAAATATTGAATTTCTTCTTAATCTTTGCAAAATAAGCAAGTATCTTTCACGATACAATAAACTTTTTTCTTCGGCAGTAGAAAACAAAGTTTTTCTATTAGGCGCGCTAACAGAAGTCGTACAGAATGAAATTTAATAATAAACGCAAAAACTATGTTTTTTAATCTTTAAAGCTCACAAGAAAATCAACAGTTTTTAATATAAATATATTTATATATAATATAAGGCGGAGTCTATACAATTTATTAAAGTTACTTATGTCAATAGTAATTTCGAAGTAATTTAATAAAAATTGATCAAAACAAAAATAAAATATTAATATACGGAGATAATAATAGATGGAAACTACCTTACAAAGCGCTTTTGGGTTTCATCGTACTTATACTTAGGAATGTCAAAGGCTGAAATCACTTCAACTTCCAAGCAAACTTCTGGCTGGTGGCGTTGAAGGGCTAAAATCTTCTCCACAGCTATTTTTACTTCATTTTTACCAAGTACATTTGAGCTTACTTAAAAAAACAAAATAAGATAAAGTAAATATTTATTTAATTTCTGTACAATTTTCTTTGTCAATTACTGAAGCTATCTTTCCCACTAATTCAACTTTTTCTTCTTCTGAGATCAAGCCCTCATAAGCCATAAAAAGTTATTAAGTTATTAAGATATATAGAGTTCTTGACGTAACGTGAGTAAAGATAATAAAGAGCTTCCGTACATTACCAAATCGCAAAAAGTAGAATAAAGGTATGTAACCGCTTCTGTTTTTAGCAACAAACCTTTTAAAAGATAAAATTTTGTAAAGACAATTTATTTAAAAGATCTCTTAAAAAAATAGGTTACCGTGTTTACTAAAGATCTTAAAAAGATTAAATTTTACCATTATTTACAAATAATCACTAAACAAAAACTCCAGAGCTAAAAATATAAACACGGCAAGTAACGCTAAGCGGTTAAAATGAGTTAGAGTTGGACGTATATTTGTTATAAGGCAATAGTAGATATATAGCCGGAGTTTTTTCTTTACTAATATTGCTGTAAAAAAAAAGTGACCCACTCAGTGCGTTTTTGATATTTCCAGCCCGCGGAGAGTGATCGCACCTGCCACAGGTAAAATTGTTAAATAAAACCTCTCATAGCGCCCTTAAGCTGGTCGAAAGTAGTAGCTCTTTAAGTTACTCGTTAACTTTTTGTTTAACTGAGGTATTATTATATCGATAAACAATTATAAAATAATTTTTCAACAATTATTTTCTGCATTTTTTGGTGCTCACCCTTCAAAGACCGAGTTATTGAGTAGATACATAGCGTGCAAGGAAGGTTTAGCCTAACCTGAGCGGCAGTGCCTGCTTTGCTCTTCGCTCCTTGTTCATAATATCCTTAGAGGATACCAACTGAAAAAGCGCAAGTAGGTAACACTGCAGGCGCTATTGCACTTAGGCGAACGATTTTAACAAGTAAATCGACATGTTGTTTGTGTGTAAGGCCGTGCTACGCGCGAAGAGCAAGAATAAGATGAGACCCGCAACTCGCGGTTTTAAGGGCGGCTGCGCGCACCGAACTCGGTATGATAAAACCTTTATATAAACTTGAGCACGTCAAAGGAGACATGCAGGAAAATCAAGGGTCGGACTTAGTAATGTAAGTCCTTTTGTTAAAGACGGTTAAACGTTTCACAATCATGAAGGGATATGGCACCCTGTCGCTTTTCTAAAAATTGCAGGAAGGGGTCAAGTACTTAATAAAGTAGGCATGCCTTGACAAAATTTAAAGCGACGAAGTAGAGCAGCTTTTAAAGTTGCAGTTAACCTCAACAAACTAAGAGTTCATGGTTCAAGTGTATAGTAGTTAAGTAGGTCCTATTTTTCAGCTTACGGTAACTGGGCTAACGGTACATCTCAACTTCAATATAAGCTGCTATGAATAATTTGAAACACAAAAAAAAGTGCTGGGGTTTATTTAGTTTAAATTGAAGAAAGTAAAATGTGGTAAACTTAGCATCCCACGGTCGGGTGCGTACCATATGTGCCCCTTGACTGACAATAAAGTTTTATTTGCTGGCAACGAAGCAGTTAAATTGGCCAACACCAAAAAAACACGGGCGAACATGAATGCTCTACTGAGACAAAAGAGCCCGGCCCCGAGGGCCTCAGTAAAGGCTATCAGTGGAGATGGTTCACTGTACTGATTTACTGCTTTAGCACCTTTTTATTACTATGAAAGACGCAACCGGCGTGATGCCACTGAGGATATGAGACCAGAGCCCCCATCTAAATTAAGAAATGTACTGAATATAATTTCCTTAAAGTTAAGAAAGTTGACCGAGTTTGACATAAAAACTTGCAGAGCGGCTTTCTTTTCGTATATGTATTCAAAAAATAAAAATCTTTAAATAAGTTTTCTTTATATATATATATTTAGCTGTTAAACTATTATTATAATTGTACTCACCAGGGCAAAAAGCTATACAATAGATTTACTCGCGTGCTACATTTATTTTGAGGTTTTTTAGCGTTATATCCATTAAAAAGACAAATATTTAGTAGACACAAAATGTAGGTTAATTTATAACAATAAATTTAATTGGAGGGTATAATTTATAAATTATCTGTTTATTTATTCATTTACATAACAGAGCGCAATTATCACTAAAGTCTTTTCACTTCTTAATCTAATGTACACCATCGCATGAAACTTAAGATTAGCATACCACAATACTGCTATGTTATGTTAGGGCAAGTTTAGGCCTTTGAATATATATTAAAGTCAGGAGGACTATAGGAAACTAACGCCTCGACCAGAAGCTTCAAGTAAATCTAGTTTGCTTAATACCCTACAAATACTTTAATGGTTTCGACCTCAGCTAGATGTTCAATTGAGCATTATTAGTAAACTACTGAGCGTTTGTAAACATTCGTAACAGCACATTTGATAACGCTAAAATTTCCTGTAACTGAGCAGACCCCAGACAGGGGAGGGTTATATGACCTGGACGGATAATCGTTCTATATACCAACAACTAGTTCCTTAGTAAAAATTTTCTTTTTTTGGTTAAATAGGTATAGAGTAGTCGCAGTCTTTTTAGCTTCCATAATTATGTCAACTCAATTATCTGTCAAGCGTGATTCCTAAATATTTGGGTATCTAAAAAACCACAAATGTCGCTCCTAAACAGCCATTTAGATACAAATAGATCTTTTGTCTCAACAATATTAATTTTTACTTTCTTTTTCGGTACCATTCCCCTCTTTCGGTATTATGTAATTGTAATAAGCAAAAGAAAATATTGCAACATCACCTGATTATAAAGCTATCCTACTGTCGCAATTAATAGTTAAGTCTGCCATATAAATTTAGAAAAAGCAACGAGGAAAATACAGAGCTTAGATAAGCTCCTCTAAATGAAGGGTAAATATTGAGTGAAACGGTACCGCAATTTAATAAAAAATTTCCTTTTTTATAACTTTTTCAAATTAACTATAAGCACGATAAATTCGGTAAGGCGTATATTAAAGGCAAGTTTTACATAATAAATAATGTACGATGCTTTCTGTCATTAAACAAAAACGAGCCCTCTGGTGTTTTTATTATTATATTCTCTAGTAACGTGCTCCTTGAAATCGTTTTGTTTGGCTTAGAGGAAGTTTTGTTCTAATAACCTCCTCATTTAGCCTTTTTTAAATTATTTTCTAATACTTTACCAGAACAGGGCAAGAAACTGATCAAACGATAGACATTCATATGATCAGAAGGGAGGAAAACTTTTGCTACCATAATAATTTTAACTACTTTCTATCACTCAGGAAAAGTCTCAAGTTTCTGAAAGGGATAATGATAGTAATACGCAGTAGCCAAAAACGTTTTAGCGCTTTGTTCGATAGAATATTTACACCCACCGACTTTTTTCTGTTGTGTTATAGACATTGATTTCAATTGCAGCAACAATAAGCCAGCAGTAATAACTGAAGTTTTCCTTATTTAAGTAGTCATATACGTAAGTCTCCCTCTCTTATCTTCCCTTCAGTAAAAAGGTTTAATATAGATTCTTAATATTTAGCAAGCGCATTCGCTTTTCCATAATTATCATGAATTATTTTATCTACAAGTGGTTGCTGAAGTAATTTTATTTCTATTTCTTAATTGATTACATAGCGACCCTAATGATTTCGCATATTGAAACTGATTTTCTCCTCTTAAACAGTATAATGTTCATCTAGTACTTTATTAGCCCTTTTTTCAGTTCGAGTAAGACATCTTTACCCCACGAATCTAAGGCTTTAAAGTTCTTCCTTAGCCTGCGCCTCAACGCGATCAGTACGCGCAGTTCAGGAAGAATGTTAAAGATGCTCCAAAGTTAGTAGTAATTATTCTTTATAAAAGACCTAAGGCTTCACTAACTGTTCTTTAGCTTTATCTAGCACTTTGCCGTTGATATATTCTGTAATTATCCACTACAGCTTGATTGCGTTATTAGAACCGCTCCAAAAAGTTTTAAATCTATCTGATTCCAGTGGACTATCATTAGTTCTAGTACGATAGAATTCGGTCCGAAAAAACTCATAATAGGTAATAGTATTTCTAATAAGCATTATTTTTAAGTACAGCTGTATACAATATCGCCTTTAGTATTTATCATGGGGATATGTTTAGTTTCAGAAGAACCAAGTACTGCCAAAGGGTTCAGTAACGAAATAGCCGGCCTCATTGTTAGTTTTACTATTCAATAAGGTATGTCTAGCATTAAAGTCACCCCTTACTAGTACCGAAGAAGCATTTTTTTGATAGTATATCGGTGTCTTCGCTACGTAATTTCTTATTGGTTTACATACCGACTTAAAATTAACATTTCCGCGAGAAAGTACAAAGGTAGAAATCCATTAACCTCAAGGATTGTTGCCTTTCAAGTTGAAGTCTTGTATAATATGAAGGACCCATTATAATCATGATGGTGGGCCCACCGGCCTTGTGGTTTCTCCTGTTGGATATGAACAATGATTACTAAATACCCTATGACAGTTCTTTGTGTATGTTTCCAACTTAAAGCAATATCAATTCCATCTCTCGTAATAAATCCCCGAATTCATTTTGTATTAAACGTTTGCATTCTAATTGAGAATTTTCAAAGAGAAGTGGTTCATTCAATAAGTGACACCAATTAAAGGAGCATATTATATAATATAGTCATTTGTTCATTTATTTTCTAAGTAATAAGGTTTTTTATTCCTTTCACATACGATAGAGCACGAGAATTCAAATCAGCGTGTGGGCGATCATTAAAATTTGTGCTACTTTTAGTGTAAGCATTGTTTACCTTTATTTTTAATTAATTTCCGGAAAAGCAAGACAGTGTCTATAGTTCGCCAAATGATTTTCTTTAAGATTAGCAAAGACACAGACACAGTGTGTTTTTGAGAAGGGTAAATTCAAATAAAATAATCTCATCTCTGCATCTGACGCATCTTGGCTTGGAATAAAATTTTTCTTGTGTGAACCGTAAAGCTAATATCAATAGTATTGGCTTTTGTTGCAGTGACTTTAATGTGACTTAAAAATTATCCTTAATTTTCTTATCTGAACATAGGCATCTTAATGCAGAGAAGTCCTTTTTTCATTGGCAGTACCTCTAAGGTTAAACCTTGTTCTTTTACTTTGAGGCATTTATCTTATTGGAGTTTGAAGGTCATTATCTTTGCGTGTTTTAAGTCAGTAGCCT